TTTTAAATTTTTTTGTCAATTACTGTTTTGTCCCCTATTTTGCGTGTTATTCGTGTCGTGTCGTGTCAACCCGCAAAAAATTCGTGTCGTGTCAGTGTTGAAGATTTTGACACGAATGAAAATTCTTGTCGTGTCAACCCATATTGACACCCTTATTGGTAGGTGCGCTTACAATGACATATATTATAGGTATATTTTCATTGAGACTCATATCTTGCTAATCTATAAAAAAAAAAAAAAAAAAAAATCATATCCATTTCATTAGCTCATCATGATATAAATTTATATGTTGACAAAGTATATATATATATATATATATATATGAGCTTATCGTTTTTCAAGCTGCTTTAGATAATCTTATTTCCGACTAGTAAATCATAACTGTATAAAGATGGATCAATGGTGATAAGGGAAAAGAGATAAAGGAGAATCATAACCATTCAAAGGTGAATCAATTAATATAAGAAAATAAATAAATAAAACGACGTAGTTTTGAGATAGTCGGAGATAAACTTATCTCAAGTTTGCTTGAAAAATATTTTTCCTATATATATATATATATATATATATATATATATATATATATATATATGAGTTTAATATATCTTTGGTCAATGGAGATAAGTCCAAAATAATATTTTTTGAAGTTGAATAAAAGGTATTTTCATAATTCTAATTTATTATAAAATTATATTAATCTTTCTCATTATAATTTATTAATTTTGTAACTTTAAAATGACATCATTTAGATTTTATTGAAAATAATTTTATCTCTAGTCACTGAATAAGACAAACCGCTCCATGAATCTCTTTGCTTCTTAACAGAACAATTCAAATTAGACCCGCTTAATTTTTAAGTATTTATTTTGAGTATTTTTTTTATTTTACATATTTCACTAACTAGTAAATTAAAAAATAAACTCTCTCTGTTATCAAAAAAAATAATAAACTCTCCCTCTATATGTAATATAAAATAAATTGTCATGTATACAGAATTTTTGAATATGGTTCAAAATTACTGTGGTTCTTCTACTAAGAAATTGACACCTGGATCAATTTTTGTTTCTCTCTTCTCTCTTCCCAACCTTTTCTCTCTTTTCTCACCTCCGTCCCACCAATTTTTTATTTATTTTTATTTTTATTTTATTTTTGCAATATCGCTCCATTTACACACCTCATATAAGATCGACATCATAAAAGGCGATATTACTTTTTTCACGCGCATTAATTTATTGGACTTAATTTCATGAATAATAATTGAAAGAAAATGGTGTTACAATTAAATCTAGGGAGAATAAATTGAAACTCCTGCAGAATTAAAAGCACATAAATGAAGGCTCGACCATCATTCAAAATCAAAATTACTCCCCCTACAATTTTACCACTGCTCCAATTCGTCATCTAAGGCTGGACCATCCTTCCTTGTTTTAATTCCTTTCATCCATTTATTTTGAAGCTAGCCGAAGACATTGATTATGTCCAACCTAGTGTTTTATACTTGTACGAATACAATTACTTATTTGTAAATTGCAAAAGCATAGGATCAGCGTAGTTAGAAACTTTGATTTTTTTGTAGAAGCATTTTATAAATGGGGTTTCCATTTGTTATTTAATATGACACAACAAACTTTTCTACACACGCAACATTTTGTGAGGTCCACACTTTTTGAAAAAAAAAGAAAAAAAAAATTATGACATACAAAACGAATCTCTATAAAATTACAGAATCATTTTTTCTTATAACGTAACTCTTATAAAACCCTTTATAAATAGTGTCTACTGAGAGAGAACGAGAAGAAGCATATGAGAAAGACCAAAAAAAGAAAAGAAAAGAAAAGAAAAAGAGTATGGTAATTTATGCATAACCTAGCAGCTATACTTATGATACGTGAAAACAAGGGCTGCATTTTGATTTGTTGTTTGGTGTCAAATCTTCTCCTAGTGGATCCACGCTTTTCTTTTGGTCACCATCAAATCTACCTTTTGTGCCACCTGAAGACAAGTAAAAAAAAAAAAAAAATGAAAATGAAAATTGAGGAGAGAAATGAAGAGATAATAAACAGAAATCATAGATGAAACGCATGTTTCATTAGAATGATATATTAGAGTTGTTCTCATCTTCTACGTCTTTTATTTGTACCAAATAAAAAAAATCTAAGGTTATAACTTCAATTTTTTTGTGAGGTTTCGAGTTCTTATGATTATCATCAGGACAAAGGTCAATTTTAAAGAGAAATATAGTGTTCATTTGGATAATTTTTTTATTTCCCATAAAAAATCTGCACGTTTTGAAAAAGAAAGTTTTTGAATAAGTTAATTTTTTTGTCAATAGATAAAAGTTTAGATTAAAAAAAGACACGTTCTTGAGTAAAGTTAAGGAAGATCATTAACATCCTTGAGGGTTATGTACAATAAAATTACATATTACTTAAGAAAAAAAAAAGCTTGAAAATCAAACCTAAGCAGATTTTACTAAATATGTGAACCGGGAATATTTAACTTCCAAGGTAGTGTTTGGTTCGGGAGAATTTTTTTTTACTAGGAAAATGTAATTGATAGGGAAATGGTTGGAAAGTGAGTTTGGTAGGAAAATGTAAAAAAAGTTGTTTGGTTGACTCAAATATTACCAGGAAAATTTATTTAAATATGCAAAATCTATGTTCGGAAGAAACTTTGCACTTGTTTTTTCACTTCCCCAGTTATCTCAAAATACCACATTTCAAGTGGTATTCTGTAACAGTGAATTTCATCCAAAAATCAACACAAAAGTCATTTTTCCATCTATCCTATTTGCCTGGTATTTTTTGAAAAAACCTAACCAAACGTAGTATTTTTCAATATCCAGTTACACTTTCCCATCAATCCCAAAATAAACCTTCAACTAAACACTACCTAAAGGAGGTTATTCACGGTTTATCCTCAAACCATGATTTTTTAAATATTTTATACAAAAAATTATTTTGAAAAAATTGTCCAATGGGCATGAAGTTTTATTAAGGTGATATACCTACTGCAGTTTGAAAACAACCACATGAAACACCGAACAAATTCATTAATTTTGGTTATCATTATGTAAAGGTAAAAGATGTCCTTTGTGTACCTCTCAACCATGCAAATTTCCGTAATCAATGAGGCGAAAAGTAAAAAGGTGATCATTTTTGAAAAATCATATAGCATTCTGGGTTGTTTGCTAAGGCTTGGCACCATGGCAAAATCCAAATGTCCATTTCATATTAAACCGACCGATGTGATTAGCAGAAAATTAAGTATTTATCTTTTTCTGCTGCAAATGCTGAAAACTCTACTCATGTTTATTGGACAAGTGATATTATTGAGTGGGGAATAATTTCCACTTTTTTTTTTTATCTTATTCTCTCATAAGATTTGGATTAGTACAATTTATAACGTGTTCATTTCTTGTGATTGTAACAATTTTGTGATGAATATTTATCTTCGTTAAGGTTTCAAGACTTATCTTACTATTAAATTTCTTTAATACCAACTTATTATCTATCTAATCATCATTAGATCAAAGATTGAGAATATTGAAAAAAAATTGAAGAAAGAAAAAATATTGATCCAATAATAATTAAATAAGTAATAAGTTAGCAGTGAAATTTTTTGATAATAAGAATATTTTCAATTTTATTTATGAGATATGATCCGTTTACAAACTTTTTTTGCAAATTACACTAAGTACGACCGGTCGTACACTGCATGATTAAAGTATGACCGGTCATACTTAGTATAATTTGTAAGAATTTGTAAACAAAAAAATTTATGAATATAACCTATTCGTTTATTTATTATATATATATATATATATAATATCCCATGTCCATGTATTCGGACTTTTTTTTGCATGGACATGATTGAGACTGATCTGGCTGTACTTGTTTGGTGATTCATCCATTGCGGAAGGCCACAGGACTTAACAGACCAAAAAGTCAAGAGCAGTAGAGCACAGTTGAATAGTTCTCTGGGAATTACAATCCAACAAGTTGAAACTGCAACAAGGGCAAGTCTGAAAAGTTTGAAACTTAACAGTTTGTAGTATAAGGAAACCAAATTTCATTACAGTTAGTATTATAAAGGGAACCAAATTTCCCTCTCTATCAGCACATATTCACATGGTAACCCAAGGAAACTACTGTCTTGTAGTGGGATTATGTAATTCAAGGACCAGATCTCATTGACAGACATGTGAAGCACTGGGCTGTGGCTAGGGCTACCTTTTCTTTTAGGTCCAATGGGGTGCTATGCATGTGCCTTTTCCTTAAATCATTTACACTTTTCCCACCCTCTCTACCTTAACGATAAATTATAGATATGCTTTTTTTATATCATTACATGCAACCGTAAAAAAATAAAATAAAAAATTATCATGATTTAAATTGTTATGTATATCAAAAAGGCATGTATAAATTGTATATTCTTTTACAATTCTCCAATAGTTTCCTAGATAAACCCAACACTTTGTACAAAAAAGAACTGCAATAATAAATAGTTTACAGTATCTACTTCATTGAACAATCATCAATCAACATCCAAACCCTTCACCCCATTTCTTCTCTTCCCTCTATAAAAAGCAACAAACATTTCCTGCTTAAAATCTTAAAGGGCTTGAGTAGGTGTCTGAATTTTTTATACATAAATCGTTGTACACTGCAAATGTCTGTTGAGTTGAGTTGAGTTGTTCACTCCCCCGAAATCCTTCCCAAAAGGCAATTCCTTTTTCCACTTTTTCAATCTCTGAATTCATTTTTTGGGATTTATTTATTTTTATTTATTTTTAATCTCCCAAGGCCTAAAATAGGGGATGCTAGTACCCTTTAGAGTGGCGGTTTTTGTCCATATGGCTATTCTTTTTATGTACAAGTGGTAGCTCAAGGGCTTATATATATGTGTGTATTTGTGCACTCTAGTGGTGACTCCAACTGAAGCAAGCTTTTTTTACCATCTTCCGGTGTTTGTGGGTTGGGTTTGGAGTGGGAGCAGCAATGGCTATTTTCCTTGCATTTCTTGGTGCGGTCTTGGTGCTCTGTTTTTGCTCTGCTCTCTTGAGGTGGAATGAAGTAAGGTACATGAGAAAAGGTTTGCCTCCAGGCACAATGGGGTGGCCTATTTTTGGAGAGACAACTGAGTTCCTTAAGCAAGGTCCAAACTTCATGAAAAACCAGAGGGCAAGGTAACTACTTCGTATGAGTTTCATCATTGTTAGCTGCATGTGTTCTGTAAGCTTTCCTCTGTTGATTTGTATATGTGGAAAAGTTTCTTTGGAAACATTTTGCCACGTGGTTACTTGACTTTCCTTTTGAAGTAGGCATAGCTTGTTACATTTTTTTTTTTTTGGCATTTTACTGATTGAGAGCTGTTTCATCAGCATCCCCTGCATGCCACTGTGATTTATTACAGTAATTAAGCTTTTGTGGTCTTTGGTTAGGTGCTTAGAGAATTCAATCATGTGATGGATTTGGAGATGCCAATAAAAGTTGTTAAGAATTAAATGAATGAATTATATTATGTTCTTTGGGGAGGGGTAGGGAGTGAAGAGAGGAGGAAAGTGGGGGAAGGACTATAGACACATCAAGACCCAGGAAAAGATAGTAATAGATATTGGTTATGGCATTCACATCATTAATGTGTGTGAATGAAAAACCCAATGCCTAGTTGGCAAAACATTTTTCTTAATGATGTTTCCTCAAATTAGTTAAACTGGGTGTGAGGTAGTCACTGTTCATTCATGTACTTTTGGTCTTTTACCTCATTAGTTATGATTGTAACTTTATTTTACCCTTTTGTCAATGGCAGGTATGGCAGTTTTTTCAAATCCCACATACTGGGTTGTCCTACCATTGTATCCATGGATCCGGAGCTTAATAGGTACATACTGATGAATGAATCCAAAGGGCTTGTCCCAGGTTACCCACAATCCATGTTAGATATCCTAGGCAAATGCAATATTGCAGCTGTTCATGGTTCCACTCACAAATACATGAGAGGGGCACTGCTTTCCATCATTAGCCCTACCCTAATCAGAGATCAGCTTTTACCAAAAATTGATGAGTTCATGAGAACTCACTTAAGTGACTGGGATAACAAAGTCATCAACATTCAAGAGAAAACTAAAGAGGTTTGTATCATCATCAATCAAAATTCCTGAACAAACAAGATTTGTCAATGAACTTCCTAATGTAAATTCAAATACTCAAAATATTTGGTACAGATGGCATTTCTCTCATCCCTGAAGCAGATTGCTGGTATGGAATCCAGCTCAATATCTCTGCCTTTCATGACAGAGTTCTTCAAGCTGGTTTTAGGAACTCTCTCTCTACCTATTGACCTTCCTGGCACTAATTATCGCCGTGGATTGAAGGTATGGTCCTTGATCTTTTCCCATTGGTGCTTAATATGTTTTATGAAAATTTGGACCATGTCTTGTGGACATGAAGATGCATGATACCTTTCAGTTTTTCATGTGACCACTACATTTCTTCAATCACACATTGATATATGCTTCATGGTATCTTGCAGGCAAGGAAGAGTATTGTTAGCATTCTGAGTCAGTTGCTAGAGGAAAGGAGAGAATCCAAAGATACCCATGTAGACATGCTTGGTTGCTTGATGGGAAGATATGAAAATCGATATAAACTAACTGATGAGGAAATCATTGATCTAATTATTACAATTTTGTATTCTGGTTATGAAACTGTCTCAACTACATCAATGATGGCCGTGAAGTACCTCCATGACCATCCCAAAGTTCTCCAAGAAATCAGAGTAAGTGTAAAAATTCTCTTGGGTCTGTTTGATTTGATTGTATTTTGGTTTTTTTTTGTTCTTAAAACTATTTTGTAGAATAATTATGGAAACAATTGTTTTTTATGTTTTTTTTATTTTGAAAGTTAAAAATTAAAACAGAAAACAAAAACAACTCAGACATGTTCTCTAAATTTGATTCTAAAAACAAAAAAACATTTAGTTTTTAAAACTTTTTTTACAAAAAACAGCCTTACAAAACAAGTTTTTTTGTTTTAAAAACTAAAAAATTGTTTTTGAAAACAGTATTCAAACTTGCTGTTGCTTTTTTTTTTTTTGTCTGTCCTGACTTGTGATAATACTGAATCTTTCCTTTTACAGAAAGAGCATTTTGCCATAAGAGAAAGGAAAAAGTCAGAGGATCCAATTGACTGTGATGATCTCAAGGCAATGAGGTTTACTCGCGCGGTAAGATGTTTGTGTCTTTTGAATTAACATTATTCAGTTTGATTGGAAAATAATTGTGTAGAATATTGGATCAAAATTTTGATGTTGTCTGTTATCTCTGTCTTTTGCAGGTGATTTTTGAGACCTCGAGATTGGCTACAATAGTTAATGGGGTTCTGAGAAAAACAACTCACGACATGGAACTGAATGGTGAGTTTTTAGAGGCCAACTATGTATTTTAAGTTTATGGGGCTCAAGGAGCTGTTTTTTTGACTTCTTGGGCTTTCTTTCTGTCACTTTTACGGTATCAATAAAGTTTGTTAAACATTATAACCGGAAAAGAAATTTATCCCTAGGATATAGTAATTTTACACATGGCTTTTGCCCATCAGTTCTACACCCCAACTAGACCATTCCACTATATTGCAGGCTTTCCATAAAAGATATGTCTTTACCCTAAACACCTCTTGGCTATTAGCATTACTTTAAATGCTATGGTCCTAGTTGGAAAAATTAGGAAGGGGGCATTTATGGATTGTACTGAACAGTGTTTGTGTTCCCATTATTGATAGTAGTATGTGTGTGAGTATCTTCTTGTTGCTATTAACAGGCTTATTGAAACTTTTTTTTGCATTTTGTTTTCAGGCTACTTGATTCCTAAAGGGTGGAGGATTTATGTATATACAAGAGAGATCAATTATGACACATTTCTGTATCATGAGCCACTAACTTTCAACCCATGGAGATGGCTGGTTTGTTACTCAACTTCTTCATTTTTTATTTTTATTTTATGCATAAAAGCTTACATTTCAGCATAATTAATAACCAACTGCAAAATGCAGGGTAACAGTCTAGAGTCACAAAGCCACTTCTTGATATTTGGAGGAGGTACAAGGCAGTGTCCAGGAAAGGAGTTGGGGATAGCAGAAATTTCCACTTTCTTACACTATTTTGTAACTAGATACAGGTGAGAGGTGATCTAGTTACCTATTCAACACTACAAAATTGTGTCCTTGTGTGGGATTTTGATTGTGCACATCCTTTGCAATAATTGTTAGCTATTAAGAATATAATAATTACACGCAGCTTCTGACATATGATATTTAATGTTCATGCAGGTGGGAAGAAGTGGGAGGAGATAAACTAATGAAATTTCCTAGAGTTGTAGCACCAGATGGACTGCACATAAGGGTCTCATCTTACTAACTAGGCATTGTGTATGTACAGTAATGAGATGTAGCAAATAGTAGGGAGTATTTTTTGTATGATAATGCTCTAACAAGTTAGAAAATGAAATTAGCTTCTTCCTCGTCCTTTATTTTTCTTTGTTTTTCTTCCTTTTTGCACCAATTAAGACCCTTCACCCTATTATAAGCAGCAGCATTTATAGTTCAATGTGGGGCGTGAAGGATATTGAAGTATGAAAGTTGACTTCTTAGGTCTCTGGCAATTCTATCAGGCCTAGCCCATGGTTAATAAATAATAAACCTTTTTGGGGGTATGTTCCTCAGTGTGGACCAGACTCAAAACAGGTTTTTTGTCAAATGCTAGAGCCTAGAGTGCCACCCTCTAGGATGCTCCTTTCGCTTTCAAATGATCCCCATTCCCCACTTTGAGAACATGGCCCCCATAGGCCTATATAGTTTGGGCTGAGACTCCAAGCTCATACCTCGTCTAAGCCTGCACATCAATTCAATAGTCAGGACTGGGGATCAGTTTTTTGTGTTTGGATAAGATAATCATGGTACTTTTTCTTACAATTAATGTTAAAAAGTAATAACAGTTTCATGTTATTTTTGGATTCATAATCTTACATTAGATATTAAGCCGTTTATTTTCATGAAAAGTGTAGAGGGAAAGGAAGGGGAGAGGAAAGTGAGTGGTGATAATTGATATTATATGATGGGGTTTGCATTTGTTATTTAATATGACACAATAAATTTTTTTACACACAATATTTTGTGGGGTTCACACTTTTTGAAAAAAAAAAAAAATTACGGCACGCAAAACGAATCTCTATAACACTACACAATCACTTTTCCTACCACATAACTTTTATAAAACTCTTATATGATACATGTGATGGATAGTTACATGAAAGCAACACAATTAATGTTATAAGGGAGAAATTGGATAAAGAGAAAAGGAATTAAGTTGATTACCAAAACACTTGCATCAGAATTCAAAACCGCACGGGAAACAGTATTGAGCTAGAATACACATGACTTAATAGTAAAAGTTAAAGCTAAACATGAATTATCTGTAAAAGGACTTTGGGTTTCCTAAAATATTTATTTCAAAGGTTATACAGTAATTTTTTTTCCTGTAGACTCATGAATTCTCATGCCCCTTAAGAAATAATAGGGCCCACCAGAAGACAATTATTCTCGTTGCGGAAGAGTAATATAGCATTATAGCCTTTAATTTTATTTGAAAAATGAATCGGTATCACAAAAATGTAAATAGACAAAAGTAAAAAAGCAATTTTTTAATTTTTTTTTTTAGTTTCTTAGATACGCTTTTTATTAAATGCATATATTATAAAAAAAATTATTAGAATTAAATATATTTTATTTATTGAATATATTATTTGTTAATATATATTTCTCTTAATGAAAATAGAAATAAATTGTATTATTAAATATACTTTTTTCAATGAACTCTTCTTAAGCATGAAAGTAAAAGAAAATCTCTATAAAAAAAGGACACCCTGAGAGAAGGATGGTTGTCATGTTCACTCCTGATAGCCTCAGACTAAATTTTAATCGATAATTTTTATTTTTATTTTGCTGTGGCTTAATCGATAACTTTGAATATGAATTTTGATGATTAACTCTTGACTAGTGAATTTGTGTTTTTATGAAATGGCTAAACTTTGAAATATTATGATTTTTTATTTTATTTTATTTTAAAAATATTCCAATTGATTCAACGCTTTGCGATTAGTCCGATTCGGGGAGGTTCCAAAATTAAGGTTTTAAACCCTTCCCAAAGATGATAATAAAGAGGATAGAACACATGCTCTCACCCCTACTGCTCAGCTCCTATGTGTCAACTGAGCTACCGTCATTTGTTAATATTATGATTTTTTGAATGACAGTAAGTTAAACCAAATGAGCAATTAGTTAACAAATAGTTTGTTAGTCAAGTATCGTTAACTATTTTAACATTTTTTTATAGGGAAAATAATTTGCCTTTTAAAGGACTTAAGTTATGTTATTTTACCCCCTTATAATTTATGTTGTACCGACACCAACAAAGGACACCGGGACGCGACACGAAGCAACACACCGACTCATTAATTCTAAAAAATGTTAAATTTCGATACATTAGAACATATTTTGATATTAAATAATATTTTTAATATGGTTTTAATGTTTCAACAGTAAATGCAGAAAAGTTATCTATATTCATTCACAAAATGACATCATTTTAGGTTAAAAAATTATAATAACAACGACTATTATAACCTTGAAATAAAATATAATTACAAAAATACCTTAATTTTCATCCCAAATTGATGTCATTTGGGCTCAATGCAAATAATTTATCTACATTTATTGCAGAAAAAATGAACCGTTTTAATATATATAATATAGTTTACATTAATACATATAGCAACTTATAATAAGTCATATAACTAATCAAATATTCAAATTTCATAACATAAATGTAAAGCAAAAATATTTTTTCATGCCTTGTTAGTTTTTCATGTCAAATTCTACGACATAAAATATTTGATTTATAAATTAATTTTCATGTCAAATTCTACGACATAAAATATTTGATTTATAAATTAATTTTCATGTTTAGTTAAAATGATAAATTAAAATTAAATTTGGATAAAAAATAAAAAAACGTGTCAAAAAATGTTGACCGTGTATCGGAAAACGTGTTGGAGCGTGAATTGCATGTTGGACACGTGTTGATGTCCGACACACATTTTTTTGAAAAGAAATGTGTTCGTGCTTCCTTGTTTATAACTATATACTTCGAAAAATACATAGTTATAATATTAAAGTTGTACTTTTTTTTTCTTTTTTCAAAAACTATCGGCTGACGCGGAAAGTAAACAAAAAGTACAACGTTAATATTATAATTATATACTCCTCAGAATACATAGTTATAAAGAAATAAAAAAAACATAACTTAAATGACAAAACATTTTCGCTTTTTTATAAGTTTAAAAGATGCTTCAATTCATTTTATTTTTGCTATCCTAAATCTATATGCGGTAAAAAGTCTATGGGCTTTGTAACCATGTTTTTTTTTGGGGTACACAAGTTTAATTTTACTTCTGCTACATACTGAAAGTGGATTGACCCATTTACTCTTGTTCCTAAGTTGGGCTTTGAGACTTGGTCTTCAACTCCAAAGGATGCTTGTGGAATGAAACCAGTGTATTTGTGTGTGTGGTTAGGCTAAATCATCATTCTAAGTTAGTGGACGGGTTGGGTGGTCAGTGGCCTAAATGCCACTTGGACTCACATCACAAATCGCCTAACCTAATAAGTGGCTAATATGCTTTCTCCCAACTTCTCACGTCTATGCAGAAGCAATTCCCACCAAATGTATATGAAGTTGAGCTAACATTGTCGAAGAAAGAAAACAAGTTCAACACCAAATAATGGTAGTTAAGTTGGTGTTAGATAACTGAGTATGTGGAGATAAAAGTATATCTTTGATTCTTTCCATACCGTCTTTGAAGTGATTTAAAGTCTTAATCTTGAAATTCACTCTAAATCGGACTAATCGCAAAACGATAAACTAATTTAAATATCTCCAAAAAAAGGAAAAAAAAAAAGAAAACAAGTTCAACGCTAGAATTTCATTTTTATTATGGAGATGATTAAGCTAGCTAGTGCATAAATCATATGCCAATTGTCAAGCACATAAATGAAAAAAAAAATGACTGAATCCCCTCTTTATATATTATTTTAAGTTTCAATTTGCATAGTTTAACTAGTTCTTAGGAGGTGATCAAGATGTTCTTGTTGGGTATACCGACATGTGATTATTATAACTAAGCATACTGGGTGCTTACTAGTTACTATAAACCATCTTTGGATCTCAAATGATTCATATAAGGAGGATTAAACTATTACAATGAAAGGCTTTATAAGAGTTATGTTGTAGGAAAAGTGATTGTGTAATGTTATAGAGTTTCGTTTTGCGTGTCTTAAGTTTTTTTTTTTATTTCAAAAAGTACGAACTCCACAAAATATTGTGTGTGTAAAAAACATTTTTATGTCATATTGCATTATGAATGCAAACCCCTATAATAAAAATGTGAAGGGAAAGTGCTGGGTACTCTGCATTTAGGGTTACTGCTAGTAGTTGCATTAGGGCCTGCTTGATGTCCTTTCTTCTATTCTTTTCTGTTGTGCTTTTGCTTTGCCCCTTTTATTGTACCCAAAAAAAAAAAAAAACAATGAACTTATCCCTTAAAATATTAGAAAATGGAATCGTCTTTTCAGAAAGCCCCATTCTAAAAAAACAGGCCATACTGTTCATAATAATTGCAAATAATCTTTATCTTTTATTGTTTGACTTAGGTATCTTCAAGTAGAGTCATCCTTTACATGTTAGCATAACTTTTATTGGAAATATAAGAATCATGTGAAATGATATTATTAATTTATGCAATTATTTTTTAATTATGTATTTTTGAGAGTATACAATTAAAAAATAATAATTTTAATATTATAATTATGTATTCTCGGAAGTACATAGTTAAAAATGAGTTGCAAGATATCCTGTAATAGGATATCCGATGCACCCTTTATTTATATATATTTTTGGAGTGACTTTGAACTTGAAATAAAGGGCATGTTGGAGTGATAGAGGAGAAACATTTTTTCTTCTAAAAATTATGATTTTTGTGAATATATTGCGAAAATGAATTTTTCAGAAATATTATCAAAAAGTTATTTGGTAGGTCAAAATATTCAAGGCATGTTGGCTTAAGTTTACTAATTACATATTTGGTTGATTGTCAATGATTTCTATGAATGTGGACTGATTTTACAAAACTAACATTTGATGAGTTTTTAAAAAAAATTGATATGTCACAAAAGGATCAAATCATGACATTGGAGATCAAACCCAAATTTTCCAAACAAATTTGACCATTCTCAAACAAATTTTGTTCTCAAACCACCGGAGCGAGAACATGAAAGGAAAGTGATGTGAAACAGTGATCGTGGTTGTCGATTCAATGTTGAAACATGACGATCATGGCATTGGGGTCATCAGAGCAAAACGACGTGAATTAGAGACGAACCCAGTAAAGGCATCGTGAAAGGGAAGAGAGGAACTCATGATTTTGTGAAGCAAAGTATCATGGCTAGGGCTTTAACAAGAGAAGATATTTTAGTCATGAAAATATTAAAGCATGATTATTTATGATAGAGGTGGCAATATGAGTTGAACCAGACGGGTTAACCCGCCAAAACGAATCGAGTTGGGTTATACATCTCAATCTACCAACCCGCCTCAACCCATCCCGTCGAGTTGCGGATCAAAACGAGTTGGAGGTGGGATGGCCCGCCGGGTCAATTTTGTGTGTGTGTGTGTGTGCTATTAGGTAGTATTTATTCGGGCTCTTTAACCCATTTGGGGTTTTTAGCCCTTTAATTTTTCAATCTGGCATTTGATTCACGATATTTATCAATGAGGGTCATTAAGTGATGCTGAAGAATCTAGCGTCATTGAGTGCCGCGACCCTACCCCTGCATCACTCACACATTCTTTTTTTTTTCTTTTTTCTTTTTCAATTGAGTGACGCTCATTCCCCTCCGGCACTCATAGGATTGTGCCAAGTGGCACAATCTCTTTAATCTCGTTACCGTAAAGCTTCAGAAGACCATATCTTTTGACCTAGGTATTCAAATTATGTGATTTTTTATTTAACACAACTTTTCGAAATCTATGCAATAACATCTCATTTAACATATTTTATCTCTCACAAACATAGTTTGAATTTGTAAAAATGTGAAACTGTTGTTAAAAATTTGAACTATGTTAAAGGAAGATAAAATATGTTAAATGAGGTGTCATTGCGTAGATATCAAAAAGTTATGTGAAATAAAAAAAATCATCTGATTTGGATACCCAAATCAAAAATTATGGTCTTTCGAAGTTTTACGGTAATGAGATAAAAGAGATTGTGCCACTTGGCACAATCCTATGAGTGCCGGCGGGAAAGGGGAGTCACTCAATTGAAAAAGAAAAAAGAAAAAAAAAAGAATGTGTGAGTGACGCAGGGGTAGGGTCGCGACACTCAGTGATGCTAGATTCTCACGAATCACTTAACACGACCTTGTGGACAAATATCGTGAATCAAATACCAGATTGAAAAATTAAAGAGATAAAACCCCCAAATAGGTTAAAGAGCCATTTTATTCGTTACTAAGCTTTTGTAATATCCAAAAAATTTATATCTTAGTACTCCGCTAAAAAAATAAAGAAAAAAACTTTATTTATGGTAAATGTTATATATAGAAGCAAAATTAAGTTACTAAAGAAAATTTGATTGAATATTAACATATATTTAAGTTTGAGATTAAAAAAATTAAAGAAATATGAAATGAAAATAAAAAATATTATATATATATATATATATATATATATATATATATATATATATAAAAGTCAACATTGGGCAAGCATAGCAGGCATTGTTATCTAAGAATTTCATTTCAAACCCATTCCACTAATTAACGCAAAGAAGAACGCGAACGAACGTGTAACTCCCTAATTGCATACGCTTTCCAATTCCCTTTTCCGCCATTCTCTCCGCATCAAAAGACTCAAAACTTGAATCTGTAAGTCACCTCCGTTCTTTGGAATCTGGATAGTGCCATGGTGATGGTATTGGAAATTTGAATATTGTAGGTTCTTCTGTTTTATTCTATTTGGAAATCAATTACATATTACAAACTTCTCTTTTATTACTATTATTTTTTCTTCATAAATCTCACGCAGGGAGTCTCAAGCAATATTTTGATTTGATGCACGTGAGACTTACGCAATGTAATGCTTCGTTTCACTATAACACTTAACCACCTGCATGACTACACCTATAAAAATGTGTTTATTTAATACAAAATTTGTAAGACAAACCATTACATACTCAAAAATTTTCAGAAAGGAAAAAAGTTCATCATAATATGAAATTCTCTCTGTTTTTAAGGTTAAAGCAATTATGACTAACTTCAGTACAAATTAAGTATATCGACAGATGAAACTGCTTTTAAATTTAAATAATACGGTTATAAACTACTCAATTGTAAATGTTCATTAAAAACATTTATTTATAATAATGTTGTATAGTTTTAGTAACGGATTGTCACATTTACAATTATACAAAATTGCATAGTTTTAGTGAAAATGTTTGAACAGATGAATTAAACACGCATATATTGTGTAACTTCTATTGTGTGGATAGCTTTACTCAGTTAGCTCCCTTTTATGGCTTGAATTAAATCACTTCACCTTTTTCTAATGACGAAGGAAAAAGAAAAATTCAAGAGTTGAGAATAGTCTTCGCCGCGTAAGGGGGAAATCATAATCATCACAAACAATTCTGACTAGTTTGTACTTTGTAGTGCACATTGAATTGAAAAGAAAATGAAAGGAAAACACAACTATTCAACAAATAAATTAAGTTTGAGATAAATCACTTTCAAAGGTTTCAATAGGTTGGCTCTTTTTGTAACTACTAATTTGACTAAGTCATTATGCAAAGATTCTTCTTATGATGGAAAAAGACATTTTTGAGCTAAGAAAATGACATAATATCTCTTTGAGATTAATTGTACTTCAAATTTTATTTACGTTATAGAGACAAATTAGGAATGAGAGAGTTTTCTTCGTTGACGAACTCTACCACAGGAAGAACAACAAATAAAACAATAACGGAAAAGCCACGCAGCCATCTTAGAATTTTATATATTCTTCACCGAACTAGGATTTTTTAAGATAAATCAAAGAATTAGTGGATTCTTATTTTTTTTCTCTATATTCTTATTATTTTCCATTTTAATTAAACTTATAATGTGTCCATGCGATTATTATACAAATATTTAAAAATATCAAATCAGATTATATTTTAATATAAAATATCACATTATGAATCTAATATGAAAAATATTTATTTGCTTTTAAATTTTGATGTATTAAATATTTTTTATAATCGCCAGAAGATAATTATTTATATTAAAATATAATTTTCTATATAAGTCTAAAATTTATTAGGTTTCCCATAAATTAGGGAAGAAATTCGAAAAAAAAAAAATTAAAAAAAAATACAAGGAGAATAAATTTCAGTCTCACATAGATAATTTCCATTATTAGTCAAATTTAATTTCCATTTTACCCAAGATAAGGATACTAAAAAGTATACACATTAAATTTTTTTGCTTAATCAAAAATCATATATTCTGATGATCATTCCATATAAAAGAAAATAACAACAGTATAGTGAAATAAATCTGCTATTAATTTACCATACTATTTTAGATAGAGGGAGACGGAGGATCAAATTCGTAAAAAAATTTCCATATAAAAAGGATAAAATCCTTTTAAATATATTTTTTCAAACAAAAAATAAGGAAATCCGCACAAAAATTTGATTCTCACAAATCTCCCTTCCATTAATACGCATTAACCCTAACACAAAAACAGAAAATAAAAATAAAAAATACAATAAAAAAACATGAACCTCTCTTTTCGTAATTATTATTTCCATGTGATTGGCCTTTATTTCTGATTTGTGCTGAGCGTTCACCACCACCAACGTTTGAAGTTGAAGGAGTCTTCTTACCTTAAACATTCAGACACGTATCTCTGTAAAATCCACCACTCGTGCCGGAAACATCGGACTCGCACGTGCCACAATTTATATTACATTCCTATAGATACTCCTCCTCATCTCACTCTCTTTTTTCATCTTCAAAACAAAACACACACTCTGTGTTTCTCTCTGAAACTCGCACGTTTTCTTTTCTCTTCTCTGCCATGGCTAACGCTTCTACATCACCAACGCCATTGTTGAAGGATGAGCTTGACATTGTGATCCCCACAATCAGGAACCTCGATTTCCTCGAGATGTGGAGGCCATTCTTTCAGCCGTACCATCTCATCATTGTGCAAGATGGTGACCCTTCAAAGGTCATCAAGGTCCCTGATGGCTTTGATTATGAGCTCTATAACCGCAATGATATCAACAGGATTCTGGGTCCTAAAGCTTCTTGCATCTCCTTCAAGGACTCTGCATGTCGCTGCTTTGGTTACATGGTGTCTAAGAAGAAATACATCTACACCATTGATGATGACTGTTTTGTGAGTTTTTCCAATCACTGCTTTATCTTCTCTCTTTTTTGAAAAAAATACAAAATTTACAATCTGGGGTTGGTTTTTCTTTTCTGTGTTTGGCTAGATCTTGACGTGTTTTTTGAATTTGGTTATGAATTTTGGTTTGCAGAGCTGATCTCTTCCTAAGCCATGTAAATTTTGGATCTTGTTCTGTTGATTTTCAATGTTGTCGTTAGAATTATTGTTTGTGAATTGTGAGTGTAACTGGTGATACTGCTTCTGTTATTCCTGGCCGTACCATGAATTAGATCTTGTTTTAGGCTTTATAGTATGTTATGATCAAAATGTCGGTTTGTCACTATGTAATTTGTGATTTAGAAGTGAGGCATTGTCTTGAAAATTGTTTGCGTAATGATAAGTTTGTCTGCAAGGATGTGATGTTTTTCTAAAGCTTTCAATATTGGTCCGTGATGTTTATTCATCTTTCATCCGTTTCACTCTTTTTCATCGGTGTTGGATTGAAAAATTGTAAATATGGTTAGATTTAGTATCTGTATTTGATTGATCCTCACTAATTCTGTCTTTGGGAGGGGTTTAAAGCCTTAATCATGGACCTGTTTGTCTCTCCGGCAAGATAGTGGTTTTATCCGCACACACAAAAAAAAAAGATCTGTATTTGATAAACAATAATATAATATAGATTGAATCATTTGCAATTTATGGGATTCTGAAGTGTCCTACAGAGTTATCTACTGTTGATATTGTGTTTTACATTCAATGATTTCATTGATGTATATTACTTGTTACTCTTTTATTTGAAATTTTAGGATTCATTATTTAATTCTGATTATAATTTTTTCTTGTGGCTTAGGTTGCTACTGATCCATCCGGACATAATATTAATGCACTTGAGCAGCATATAAAAAACCTTCTCTGCCCGTCCACACCCTTCTTTTTCAATACCCTCTATGAGCCTTTCCGTGAAGGTGCAGATTTTGTTCGTGGGTACCCCTTCAGTCTCCGTGAAGGTGTACCAACTGCAGTTTCTCATGGTCTTTGGCTTAACATCCCTGACTATGATGCTCCTACTCAGCTTGTGAAGCCTCTTGAAAGGAACACTAGGTACTACTTGTACTCTTACGAACCTATGAAAAATTCAAAATTATTAACTTGTATAAGTCTGATTCTGATCTGAATATTGTGATTATTATTATGCTTTAAGGTATGTGGATGCTGTTCTGACCATACCAAAAGGCACTTTATTTCCCATGTGTGGAATGAACTTGGCATTCGATCGTGATCTTATAGGAGCAGCAATGTACTTTGGTCTCATGGGTGATGGTCAGCCTATTGGACGCTACGATGATATGTGGGCTGGCTGGTGCTGCAAGGTCCATTCTTGGCTTTTGTTTTTCATTTTTTTATCCCAATTTTGTGCAAACAATTCATAGTTGTAAACTTGGGTTTAATGTCTCTCCTGTTGTAAGAGATAAAATTATCTTGTACATACGGGCCCTGCACGCTTTTATGTGTGTGTAGGAGATAATTTTATTTCCTACAGTACGAGAAACATTAAACCCTATAAACTTATATTTAGATGAATATTATTGCATGAAAACAACTGAGATATTTTAATGATGATTGTTTAGGTAATCTGTGATCACTTGGGACTGGGAATCAAGACTGGTCTTCCCTATATCTATCACAGCAAGGCTAGTAACCCATTTGTAAACTTGAGGAAAGAGTACAAAGGCATATTCTGGCAAGAAGACATTATCCCATTCTTCCAGAGTATTGTTCTTCCAAAAGAAGCAACAACTGTCCAGAAGTGCTACATTGAGCTTGCAAAGGAAGTCAAGGAAAAACTTTCCAAGGTAGATCCTTACTTTGACAAGCTGGCTGATGCTATGGTCACTTGGATTGAAGCTTGGGATGAGCTTAACCCTGCTGGAGCATCACTGGCCAATGGCAAAGCTTAAATCAATTTTGTTTAACAGCAAACAGCCACAGAACTTGAAGTGAAACTATTTATATACTGTAATTTTTTTTCTTCACCTTAGTGTTATTCACACCGCTTAAAATTTGCAGCATTGTTAGCTGTAATTCTATTTAGTAATTTCATGCTTTGAGCTTAGAAACAATAAAGCACAACGGTCTTAGGGCGTTGCTTTCTTTTTAATTTACTGTTTTATGGGTAGAGATCATATGGCAGCATTGGCTTCCATGTGAAATAAGTCTTATAGAGAGCATATTTATGAATGTCTGGTTTATTATATAGAGTAGAGGTCCATAGTGATCAAATTTTAAACTGATGTATTCAGAAGTTTGGATTTTTCTTTGGTACTGTTTGTGCCACTTGAATCATATTGACCTATCTTCAGATGCTAGTTTGAAATTGAAAACATCCAAATCTATAAAGGCCTGTGTTTGTTACGGTATGTAAATATAGTCTCTTTCAAGATGTATCACAAACAAATAAGTTCAATTGAATGAAGAATTACAGTTACTTAAGTAACTGCAGGAAAATTGAAACTGAAGTCCCCTAAACAAGCAACGGCAGGTTTCAAGTAACATATCAATCAATTTGGAATTTATGTATGGTAGAAGAAAAATTTTGCTTTAGTCCAAAAACAAAAATTTTCTCAAGCAAAATTTTTCTCTTCTTAAGCTGTGGTTGTTATTTGGTTTGATTCACTATCTTGCCCTGTTTTAATTAAATTGTTACTTTACCTCTCTTTTCAAATTATATACTAATTTGCCTCTCTTTTCAAACTATATACCAATCTTTTCCTTTAACCAAAGTTTGACACACATACTCAAGTAAATGTGTAATTTACTGGAATAAATGACTTACAAAGAATTAAGGTTTGGGGGCAATATGTTGTTTAAGAAGAGGTAAACAATTTACCAAGAACTAGGATTTTGTCAAACGGGACAAAATGGGCAAATTGATTTTAAAAAGGGGCAAAATGGTCAATCAACTGTTATGTCTCTTTATTATGTGAAATTATCGCTATCTTTAGATCTAAAATTAAAAGCTCGTATTAATACAGAATTATCGTTCGACAATATTACTAAAACTAAGGCAGCTGAGCTCTCAAGGGATTGCTTGGTGCAGGGATCAAATCCTGCCTCAAGCAGTTTTTTGAAAAATCTTTGGGGGTCAGAGGATAAGCCAAAACTCTTCGGTTGGGGGATTAGTCTCATCCTTTCTCCGGTTGCGAAGCTTAGTGCACCCACTGTTACAATGAGGGGCTAGCCCAAACGGGTCGTACCCCGAGGGCATGGTGCCCGGAGAAGGTTGAATGGGGATACCTCCTGGCAATGTACCAAAAAAAAAAAAAAAATCTAAGGCAGCTAACGAACGCCCAAGTATCTGTTATGCTGTCAGAATGTGAATCTAAATAATAGTCTTCATGACATTAATGAAGATATACTTTAGTGCAGTGTTTAAAAACTCCGTCCTACCTTGGATCGATTTTGCCAGGTCATTGACTTCCTTTTCTGAGAGTTGGGGTCAACAGTTAGACCCTGCATTCTGACCCGTGTGACTCTCGGGTTAAAGAGGATCATTGCATTTAAAAAAAATACATATGAAAAAACATCATTTGGCGTGTAAAAAAAAACAAAAATTCGTTGTTGCTTAGATTTAACTAAATCTGAAATCTTCATTCTTCTTAGCCTCTTCTTATGCTCTTCTCATTTTCTCTCTTATACCTAGTCTCCCTGATTCGGTGATCTCCTCTACTGTGGTGGTGGATCCTCCAATCATCTTGGGTCTTCTTATCTCCCTCTTTTCCATCGTGCTGATTGTTCTCTTCCCACCGTTGATTCATTGTGTCGCTCCCTCTTGTCCACATTTCTCTCTTGGATAAGAGATCTTCCTCCACATGCTGTTGTAGGTGCGTGAGAAGGACAAGGAAGACCAGAGTTTGATGATATAACTTTTCATCGACTTTATTAAAATATGTGTTTTATACTTTGATACTTTCGCTAGCTTGTGTAATATTGACTTGTGGATGTAATTAGTAGAATTATGTTAAGTATATTTTGAATCTTTGATGATTGGTGATTTAATTTTTTTGAATTTTTTATATAGAATATATATTTATATTTTTTTAATATATAAAATTGGGTCAGCGAAATGATCATGTAACCTCACGGTTGAATCTGTGACCCCTAGTCTCGACTAGATCAATGTCTGAGCCAAATTTTTAAACACTGCTTAGCTTCGATAAAAACTTTGAGATCTTACGTAAAACTAAGATGTCAGATAATCACATAAAAATCTCTCGTTTCCTCTTCTCCTTCTATAGAAACTTTCTATTCTAGCTTCAAGCACCACCATCCATCCTTTTGTTTTTATCTACTCTTGGTTGTTTTTACTTTTTATTGTTTATTTTTTATTTTTTTTAAAATTTAATTAGAAAAGGAAAGACAGAATAAGTTAGGGATAATTTTGCAAAATGCTAAACTATTTTGAGGGACCAAGTTGTAATAAACAATTGCAGCGAAATAACCTGTTACCCAAGTTAAAAGTTATAAAGGGTGGTCATTGATCTATTTGTTTACAAATTCAACGGTAATGGAGACGTGGAGCGTAGAAGACGATGCCTTCATTCATTTAACATTTATTTTTATCTAAATAATAAAGGTTTTTTTAATATCTTTTATGGTAATTTTAATTAAAAGCAAAGCTTATGAATGTTATTTTACCAAATAATTATTTTTGGTTTTAATACTAAAATAACTTTTAAGCTAAATTTTTTATATTATTACCAAATAACTTTTAAATTTATTTAAAAAATGTAAAATTTATTTTAAAGTAACTTTTAACCTTAAAAAAAATTAATTTAAACACGCTCTTGGAGTTATAAATGCAACTGGTACACTTATTTTCTTGCTGGTTGTTGTCTTTTATGGATATATATAAGGTTTGATTTTTATCATGTTGCGTGAAATAATTTATCCATACAACACATAAAAAAAGAGATAGAATACACTAAAAGAAGAAAAGAAAAAAAATTGAGTCTCACCTACTTTTTTATATCTTGCATAGAATAATTTATCTTCTCTAAAAAAAAACTGGAGTGGTGTTGCCCATGATTTTATACATATATATTTTAAGTATGTCTTCTCTGCAAACCTGAAGTGGTTGTTACCCATGAGTTTTGGGTCAGTCCAAGCCCACAATGCAAAGAAGACTATTTTCTAAGAAGGATTAGAGCAAGATTCGGCTTGTAATGTTAAGAGAAGTTGAATTAAGCGTATGCTCTTTCTTCCGGATTTGAGGCTTTAATAGGAGGGAGTGGATCAGATGACAGTCCTAGAGAGAGGGCTTCTTCGGCTTTGGGGACAAACTCATCTTGGCTTGTATTTCGGATAATGATAAGGATGAGAATTTCACATCTCATCACATTAGCCACGCATCAGGGGTACATTCTAATTTTGATTAATTATGGAAATACACCCGATTATATTAAGAATTTTTTATTCTAATTACGGGAAAAGTAAGAGGACATGGAAATACACCCCATTATATTAAGAATATTTGATTCTAATTACGGAAAAAGTAAGAGGACACATGTTATATATATATATATATATATATATATATATATATATATATATATAGGTCATGATCATTTTACACCAGTATAAGTTACACTCTCAATCTTGTCCGTTGATCCCAATTATATCTAAGGGCTTTAATTTTTTAGTAATGTGAGTCATTGGATACAAGTGGATCAATGGTCAAGATTGAGTGTAAGACTTCTAACTCTTACACTGGTGTAAGAATATCTTGCCCATATATATATATATATATATATATATATATATATATATAACCCTTATTTTTATTACTTTTGTCTACCCACCTCAACCTCGTTAGATTATAATCTCATTCAACAGTGAAAATTTGTGTGTAATTTTACGAAAGATGATAAAAATGTGAATTCTCAACCGTTTATGTGTTGGAGAGACCGTTTCTTATTTTGTGCTGAAGCAATTTATAAAGCACATGCCGAAACAGGAGAAATCAAAAGGCATTACTTGAATGCTACTGCAGGTACATGTGAAGAGATGATCAAAAGAGCTGTATTTGCGAGGGAATTGAGCGTTCCTATTGTAATGCATGACTACTTAACGGAGGGATTCACTGCATATACTAGCTTGGCTAAATCGTTAGCGCCGCATAAAAATATTCCTCCTAGAGTAGCTGTTAATACAAATAACATAAACTTTGTTATAGCCATTTTTGTACATTCAATGTACTCTACGGATAGAGGAATACATAGAGTTGAACATAGTACAATAAGAAATGGAAATATTTCGTTGAAATTGTTCGTTTGAAAATTTTCCAAAAAACTAACCATAGGTTCTTCCAGAACAATAGGGCCACTATGCTCATTACTAAACATGTTGAAGAGATAAAATAGAACCAAGATATCTCTTTTTAATCAAAGGTTGAATCGATCATTAGAAGAAGAATTAGGCCAAAAATGAAAGAAATTAAAAGAAAAAATAATTAACCCACAAAGCACAAAATCACTACCAAATCAAAACGGTGAGGGATGAAGCAAAATCAAACCTAAAACACCAACCATATCAGCAAAACCCAAACAAGAGTGAATCAGGTTCAGGTTCAAGGAGCTTCACCAAGAGGCAACCTATGATGTACGAACACAAACACGGGATACGACACGACACGATACGCCGACACGTTAATTCTAAAAAATGTTATATTTCGACACGTTGGGACACGTTTTGATATTAAATAAAATTTTTAATATATATAATATAATTTATATTTAATACATGTAACAGTCCATAATAAGTCATATAAACAATCAAATATTTAAATTTTATAACATAAATATAAATATAAATAATTTTTTATACTTTTTAAATTTTTCATGTCAAATTTCATAACAGAAAAAAATTAATTTATAAATTATTTCTTTTATATTTAGTTAATAAAATAAAATTAAGATTAAAAAAAAATTGTGTCGGAGCGTGTCCGAACGTTGACCGCGTGTCGAAAAAAGTTGACTGCGTGTCAGAAAAACGTGTCGGAGCGTGTCGGACACGTATCCGACACACAAATTTTTCAAAAACTTGCGTGTTCATGCTTGTTAGGAGGCAACTATATCAAATACAGGAATCATCAAATTTGAAAATTTAAAGAAGCAAATACAAAATTATAAATAGAAAACCAATGATTTAGTTTGAACAGAACTTGAAACAAATGACAGTCTAGTAATTGCAACATGAATGTCTAGCTACTCCATCCAAATGCAATCAACAATCTACCCAAAAAAAAAATACACCTGCTGCAAAACAACAGTTAGATTACCATTATTTTTTTGGTAATCACAAATCACAGTTTTTTTTTTTTTTTGGCAATCAAGGAGCTTTTGTGGTAATGGCTGATTTGTTTTTTGTTAATCAACAATCACATGTTAGATTACCCTTATTTTTTTGGTAATCAACAATCGCAGGTTTTTTTTTTTTTTTTTTTTTTTTTGGCAATCAACAATTTACTAAAAAAAAGAAAAAACTGATAAAAGCCAACGAGTTAGATTACTTTTATTTTTTTTGACAATCAACAATCACAGGTTTTTTTTAGTGATTTTTTGCTTTGTGTGCTAATTCTTTTTTCTTTTAATTCCTTCTTATTTTTTGCCCTTTTCACCGTGGAATCTTGAAGGAATGATGTCATAAAGAGAAAGAGGAGGAGAGAGAAAGAGTGAGAGAGAAAAAGAAGTAAAATAGTTTATTTTCTCTTGTAAATCTTCACCATTAGATGAAATTGTAATCTAACGGTGTTGAAAGTGATAGACAAATATAGATAAAATAAAGATAGGCATAATAACATATTCCTTATTATATTTATAGGTGATGTGATATGAAATGTGATTAACTTAGTTATATAATAGTTACACTATTAATTTATAACCATTACATAACCGAGTTGACTATATTTTGTGTTACATCATCCAGGATTATAGTTACTTCTAAGCTATTTATATTATTTTTGCATCTACCAAGCAAAATTTCAAATAATTTTCATATGCATTTTAGGTGAACTCGCTTGAATTTGTTTTCTTTAAATTCATAAGCTGCAACTATAAGTTGAGTCTAGCTAGTCTAGATTCAAATTCACGATAAATCACTAATTGGGATTGGCTTATACAATTGGTCGATCCGCTCTTGTATAGTCAAGTTTTTTCTTACCTTCGAAGAGATTATGTTTTTTCCTAATTTAAATTCTTATGTACCAAAAAAGATTCACGTTAAACATATGACAACATTATCGTGCCATAGATTATATAAGATATATTTATTGAAAAAAGTTATATTTACAACATCTTACAACTAAATATTAACGACTGATTTTCGTCAATCTGACAGTTATAATTTATTGAAAATTAATACTTAATTAATAAGTGTGACCCAATAAATTATAACCATCAGATTAGTGAAAATCAACAATTAATATTTAATTGTAAGAGATTAAAAAGCAAAAGAAAAATTTTAAATATAAAATTCCTCATATTTATTCATATTGATAAGTTGATAATGACACTTTCAGCTTTGAATCCAAGAATCACATTGGTTGTATTATTCGAAAAAAGGGATAATTTGCATGTCATTTGACCCTTTTTCAATGAACAAAGGGTCACAAACTAACGGGGCAAAAGACTACAAAATTAGTAGGTATTTGAGAAATTTCACTGTTGGAGGCTTGAAGCATTCAAGGTTTTATGGAGATGCAAACAGCAGTTGGGGTGTCCTTTTGATCTGAATGGAACGCATTACCTGTCCCTACGCAACAATTGCTTGCTTCAAACTCATGTCTCTGGCTCAACGTGGACACAAAAGCAAGACCATAAAGAGGAGGTTCACAAAATTAGTTGCAAGGTCTATAGAAGTGACAGTTGTTACCTAATATGATTAAGTTGTGGTGTGGACTGTGGACACAACAGGACCATAATACCACATTTTCATTTCGTCTCATGCCAAACTTGTTCTTACCCTTTTGTGTTCCAATCATTCTTAGAGAAAAAAGTTCAAAGAAATGGGAAGTACCTAGATATAAAAAAAATCAGAGAAGAGAAAAAAGGCCATTTTGAGGATAAATTGTAGACTTTATTTGTCTGCATAAGTAAACATATTAAATATTGAATCTCAATACATTCTTATGTTACATGAGATAAGTTTTCTCTCCTACACATCTTTCGATAGCTGTGCCACCTTTTTCTTTTCTTTTCTTTTTATTTTTCAAGTGATAGACCTCACAAGTTTGTCTCTATGACATGAGATAACTTATCTCCTTTAACATGAGATTAATAAAACTCATACATTAATCCATTTCTGAAAGAATTTATCTGAATGGAATAAGGGGTACACCTGTAAATTCATAGTATGGTGAGCCTAACCCATCAGAAAACACATGGCCTTTCAAACAACCGTTGAAGTGTTATGTTCACTCTTGTATCTCCCGCCTATTCTTGTCAGTGGCCGTTGCTTTAAGATATGGGAAGTTAAAAGGAAATCTCAAGTGTGAGACAGTGATAGAAATATAAATGTGTAGGTACCTACCAACCATTTGGTGAGCCATCACTTGAACCCCAAAGAGAATTCCCCTCAAGGCCTCGTTTCTACAATACTACACATCCAATTCCATAGCATTCAGCTGAAGACACTCCAATCTTACTGAAAGAAGGTTGCTAACTCTTGAGTCCCATTACCATAGTTGATAACATCAAAACCACAATATTCAGGGAATGAGACTTGTCATATCAGCTCTATGTGTTCTTGTGCTATTCTCTTATGCAGGTCAGATAAAAAGTTACCCTCTTTGCTGATTTTGTTTCACTTTCACTTAATTTATTATCATATACATATTCAACTAATTTGTTGATGTTTTCTGGTTATAGCTGCTTATGATCCTTTGGATCCAAACGGAAACATAACGATCAAATGGGATGTTGTGTCTTGGACACCAGATGGCTATGTGGTAATTACAAACTTTATTGTTACTTGCTTTATATTTTCTAGGCCAAACAAAATTCCAACAAATTGCTAGACATAGATGTCAAGGGTGCACTGAAAGATCAAATTAAAAGACTAAGATGGATAGAATGTCACAATATTATTAGCTGTCAATGCAATCTATTGCACAACGAGTAAAATGGATGTTAACTAAATTAAAAAGTAACCTTTCATGTAATAAAATCACTTGTTTCTGTTTATTGCATTTTCAACCAGGCAGTGGTAACAATGAGCAATTTCCAAATGTTTCGGCACATAACGAATCCTGGATGGACCTTGGGATGGTCATGGGCTAAGAAAGAAGTTATATGGACCATGGTAGGAGCTCAAACCACAGAGCAAGGAGACTGCTCTAAGTTCAAAGGCAATGTACCTCACTGCTGTAAGAAAACTCCCACAGTTGTAGACTTGCTCCCTGGTGTACCTTATAACCAGCAATTCTCAAACTGCTGTAAGGGTGGAGTGGTGGCAGCATGGGGCCAAGACCCTTCATCAGCTATCTCATCCTTCCAAGTGAGTGTTGGGCAAGGTGGTACTTCAAACAAGACAGTTAAACTCCCCAAGAACTTCACACTCTTGGCTCCAGGACCAGGCTATACTTGTGGCCCTGCCAAGATTGTTCCTTCCACCACTTTCCTTACACCTGACAAACGCCGCAAGACTCAAGCTCTGAGTAAGTTCTCTATCTTAGCAATATCATTTCCCTCCCCAGCTTCCCCATTCAACAATTCCCAAAAGTTTCATTTGTTTTAATTCATGCAGTGACATGGAATGTTACCTGCACATACTCACAATTTCTGGCGAGAAAGAACCCAAGTTGCTGTGTATCTATGTCATCCTTCTACAATGAGACCATTACCCCTTGTCCCTCTTGTGCCTGTGGCTGCCAGAACAAGAAGAAAAACTGTGTCAAGTAAAGTCTGATATTTCAAAACAATGAATGACCTCTTCATATCTAACAACTAGACAACCAATGAGAATTTCCAATTTTTTTTCTTACACGTTGGTGTGGTTTGCAGGATTGACTCTAAAGTTCTCAGCATGAAAGGGGTTCATACTCCAAAGAAAGACAATGAACCACTGCTGCAGTGCACACATCACATGTGCCCAATCAGGGTACACTGGCATGTGAAGCTCAACTACAAGGACTATTGGCGAGTCAAGATCGCTGTAACAAATTTCAATTACAGGATGAATTACTCCCTCTGGACTCTTGCTGTTCAGCATCCAAATCTTAACAATGTCACCCAAGTTTTCAGCTTTGATTACAAGCCTTTGCTTCCCTATGAGTCTATAAGTGAGTGTCATTGAATAGATCTTTTATAAGTATGTTGTGTTTTATAAGTCAATAACTTTAAGAATGACTACTCATGTGTATTCTCATTTTATATGCAGATGACACTGGTATGTTCTATGGCATGAAATACTTTAATGATCTCTTAATGGAAGCTGGACCAACTGGGAATGTTCAATCAGAAGTGCTTCTTCGGAAGGACGGGGATACGTTCACATTCAAGCAGGGATGGGCATTTCCTCGCAAGGTCTACTTTAATGGTGAAGAATGCATGCTGCCACCACCTGATACCTACCCATTCCTCCCTAATTCTTCACCTGTAAACCTACTCAACTTCCCAGCATTCGTTTTCTCTTTGCTTGTCTTGCTAGCTGTTTGGTGAATTGGTACATAAGCGAGTTGAGATTGTTTTGTGAAATTTTGAAGCCTAAGTATCCCTCCACACAGATAACGTGATAGCAGGTATGAAGACTACAGGCATTCTTTGAAAAACATCAAGCCAGACTCATGAGTATGTGTTGTGATTCATGAGCACCAAACGGATGCTAAGTATGACTCCCACCAATGATTTTGTCTGAACCATGTAAATGCTTGTGTTGCAATTCTGTAATGAATACCTCTTCTCTCTTTCATTTAGTTTCTCTTAGACAATATTGAGCATGATACAAAAAAATAAAAATAAATTATGATTCCAAGTAGGAAGCTGCAAGTAATAAGACCATTAGCATTTCAAATCCACATATGATTCATTAATGCTAAATTTTCACGTGATATGTTGCTGTATATATTTATTATAATTACAGTTACAGTTACAATAAGAATATATGTATCATTGCATTACAACAGACACAAATAACAATACAATAGCAAATTCTACCACCAATATGCTGAATCCTTTGTAACAAATCATAGGACACATGACATAATCTTCAATTTCCACTCCATGTCATCCTCCCCTTTGCTTCAAATACCAAATTGACATCACAAATGAGTCAAAACTGGTCTGACTGAAAATTTTATATTACAAGGTTTGAGTGTACCACATATTGGAACTTTAAGAGTATGCATAAAATACATAGGCTACAAAAGAAGCCATCACTAAAGAAAACAAGGAAACCTCTTGCCGGGAACCAGCATTAGGTAACCACGGATAAGCATCAGGTGATGGCATCACACAGTTGTCACCATTGAAGTAGATTCTTCGAGGAAAAGCCCAACCCTTATCAAAAGTAAAAGTTGCTTGATCCTTTCGGAAGAGTAGCTCTGACTGAACATTACCATTAGGGCCAGCTTCATTTAGAAAATCATTATAGAACTTTACTCCCCAAAGCATCGCTGTATCATCTGTTAAAAGCAGCTTAAATCAGTAATGACTTCTAGTTTACAAAAGGAGTAAAATTTTTGATGTTTTATGATGAAAAATGAACAAAAATATGTTTCTCAGTATTTAAGAAATTTATTACTTCAGAAACTTGAAACACACAAGTTAGGATCACACTCACTTATTGTCCCATAAGGAGTTAATGACTTGTAGTTGAAACTGAACAGTTGAGTCAGATTGTCAAAGTTTGGGTGTTGAACAACCATGTTCCAATCTGAATAATTCATCCTGTAATTAAAATTAGTAATAGTAACCTTCACACGCCAGTACTCCTTGTAGTTAAGCTTAACATGCCAATGGACTCGGATTGGGCACATATGACTAGTACATTGAACCAAAGGTGTAAAACTATTCTTTCCGGTGCCAGCAACAACTGATGCCAAATGTGGTGTGTCTGGACTGTAACCGCACAGAGAAAGAAATATATGAGTGTATAACTAAGTTTCTAGAAGGAAATCAAGTAACATGAGAAACAGAAACCTACTTTACACAGCCCCCTGATTGAGATGAGTTACTCTGGCAGCCACATGCGCATGTTGGGCAGGGTACAATAGTATCATTATAGAAAGATGAGAGGGAGACACAACAAGTAGGAGTTTTCTGAGCTAGAAATTGCGAATATGTGCATGTCACATTCCATGTCACTGCAATAAATGAGAGTAATGTTAAGGTCAAGTAAATTGCTGGAATTTGTTGATAGTTACTCATAAAAACTGTAAACACATATCAGTTTTAAATTTAGCCAGATAATTAGTAACATGAGTTCCAGATTTTAGTTACCAACAAAAGCTACAACTAGTGGATGAAGATTTGTTGAAGAAAGAGCATGAGGATGGTACGAATCACGGGAAAATTAGATAACCATATTGTTAACTGCAAAAATTAACATAAAAGTCCTTTAACTTACTAAGTGCCTGGGTCACTCTCCTTTTGTCTGCTTGAATGAATTGAGTGGGTCTCACAATTTTTGCTGGTCCGCAAGTATAACCTGGTCCTGGTGCTAACAAGGTGAAGTTTTTTGGGAGTTTGACAGTTTTGTTTGTGGTTCCAGCTCTACCAACGCTGACTTGAAATGATGAAACTGCGTTGGTTGGATCCTGAGCCCATGAGCTGAGTACCCCACCTTTGCAGCAATTTGCAATTTGCTGATTATAAGGTGTTCCAGGAAGTAAATCCACAACTAACGGATTCTTTTTACAGCAATGTGGAACATTTCCCTTAAATTTTGAACAATCCCCTTGTTCAGTGGTCTGCCCTCCCATCATGGTCCAAATTACCTCCTTCTTTGCCCATGTCCATCCTAGTGACCAGCCAGGTGCTGCGATATGACGATATTGTTGGAAGTTGTTCATTGTAACAACAGCCTGTCCATTCAATTGTTTCTTAGATATATAAACAATTAATGGAACAAATATAAACTCAATTCATTTTAGATTGCTATAGCCACTAATATAAATAAACTCGTTACTTGAGTTTATCAACTTTATTCAATAATTTAAAAACTTAAAATAGTAAATACACACTTAAAAATCCTTTGTAAGGTGGATCAGAAGTGTGATAAGATATTGAGATCCTGTCACATTTCTAATTGGAACAAAATGATTTTGTTTTTACAAAATTTTCAGGTAGTTATGCTGTCCAAGTAAGAACAGATATACCACATAAGATGCAGCTGACTGAACATGCAGATCCATCACAAAAGATGTGCCAAACCAGTAGAAAGAAAGGAGCCAAAAACATTTCAACACCATGCATATTGTACAACAGATGGTTTGTTTCTCGTATTAATATCCCATTTGTAAAAGAATATACTTACAACATATCCATCAGGTGTCCAGCTTATAATATCCCATTTGATTGTGATATTCCCATTAGGGTCAAGTGCATCATAAGCATCTGAAAGATAAACAGCCAACGGCAAGTAGAAAGTAATTAAAACGAAAGTAAAGGAAAGAAAACAAAGTAATTGTTGAATCTTTAAAATATTCGTACAACATACTACACATTAAACAACAAAGAAAGTGGTGAGACATATGAAAAATGCAATAGAAATTATGAGACACACATGATTGCTAGTCTTGATTAAGTAAGCATGAACAAAAGAAAGTAAACAAGCAAACATATTGTTCAAGTCAATGCTGGTTTATGAAATTATAATTCTTCATTTTTACATATTCAATTCCTACGGGATTGATGATTATAACTTCTTCCTTTACACTTAATATATCTGATAATCTCCTTCCATTTGAATATAATCACATCCCATGCTAAATACTAATGATAAAGAACGGAAAGATATCCAGAATCTAAACACTGTGAGGACCTTTATATATGAATTATTCCATTCACAGTAAAAACAGTTCATTATCGGTAACCACCCACCATGTATGATGTCCCCAATTGTTGGAGTTCTTAAGCACAAATCTCGTGTAAGCAATCCTAATTTCAACTTTAAACATATTAAAGAAAATAAAAATAAAAATCATTAACATACTTCTCAATTGACCCAACGAAAATTCAAATGCTAAATCAATTCTTGCTAAAACATAATCAGAACACGAATCTCATCTATTTTTTTTGCTCCACATCTAAATCTTTACAGCAACAAAGGAAGCCAAACTCCCATATTTTCAAACTGAAACAATTGGCATCAACAGTAAAAGCCGCCAGAAGCTAATAAATGATAAAAAGTTTCCCCATTTTGAGAAAACCCACATTCTTTATCAAATTCAAAGAACAAAGAATGCATCTTTCACAAGCATTCATTCCAAAAATCAACAGGGCGTGAAGAGAAACAAAAAAAAAAACAGAAAAGGTTTTGCAGACAAGGAAAAACTGGACAACCCATTAAACAAAAACACAGAACCAATGAAAATATCAGGACTTTGATGAGAAAAAAGAAAACAATAATAATGGGGTGAACCTGTTGAAGTGAAGCAAGTGCAAGAAAGTAGTAACAAGAACAAAATGCAAGGACTTGCTTTTGATAACAAAGACAAGCCCATATTTTCTGGATGAAGAAATGTTTGTGTTTTGGCGATTCTGGTGCTCTCAGTTATTGACTGAATGGCTGGTTCAAGATCTGTGACAGAGAAGAGAAGACTAGAAAATAAAGAAAAAGAAGAGAGAGAAAGTGTGGAAAAGAAAGAGAGAGAGTGGAAAATATGCGGTAGAAGCTGATGACAGTCTTATTTGTCCCCGTTGGTTCTTCAGTATAAGAAAGGTATATAAGAATAAGTGTTATTCTATCAAATTTGTACCCACCATTGAACACATAATTCATAGTATTCTATAAAGTGGTGTTTGGTTGGGAGCTTTTCAGCATATATCTATGTTTCTCTCAAGTATGGCGTTTAGAAATACCATGTTTGTTTGAACGTATTTTCACCAAAAACCTATCTATCCAATTTGTCTGAATTTATGAGAATCATAGATATCCGCACTGTTTAGAAACCCAATTTGAAGGTGGGATTTTTCGGAAAACCGGTAATCTGGCTTTTAATGCACTGTTGATTTCATAAAGTTACCTAATTTTCCCAGTAAAATTTTTCCCCACCAAACAACTTTTTTTTACATTTGTCTACCTATCTCACTTTATTTATCTTTCCAATCATTTCTCTATCTATTACATTTCACTATTATTTCAAAAAAAATTCCTCGACCAAACGCCCTATAAGAAAAGGATTGCTCTTATTTTTTTTCTCATGTAAAATGAGATTGCATGTTTCATATAATAGGATCCATCATTTATTAAAAGAAAAACAAAAAGTGATAGCACAAATTATGATATTTTATAACAAGAGAAAGTTATCTTGTTGCATGAAGAAAAAAATTCCTTACTTTCATATCATTAAACTCACATTTCCATGTCTCAATTTATAGTTTTTTTTTTTTTGCACATAAAGAATATTTTTACTAGCAAATTTGTGATAACAAAATCATTCACAATTTTATAAAAGTTAACGATCGTTAAGCAAACAAAATGGATATTGATTTTGTCCTAAGACAAACAAAGAAGAAGAAGAACAGGGGGGAGGTGGCCGGCAAAAATTACCATGAAAGTGGCATATGATTGGTTGTATGATTAAAAATATTTGTATCTCATAGAATTATATAACTAATAAAAATAAGGTGACTCCCACTTGCTTTATAAATATTTAGTTTGGTATAACAAGAAATGGTAGGATGAAAAGTTGCATTTTTTTGTTTGCATCAAATTAATTAAAAATATCTTTTGTAATGTGCATGATTTCTTTAAGCCCAAAATGATAAAAATATGGTACAATGAATTATAGCACACCTTTCCTACATATAATAATATGATAATGCATGCATATAACTTGTCATGTAGTTTACCACTTTTGTGTGCCTGATTTTCCTACTCACCATATGTTTCCTCATGAAACGAATCTTATTGCATTCATGATTCGATTGCACAACACGAGTTTATTTCAAAAACTTGGAGAAAGAACTTAATGTTATGGACATAGTAAAAAAATAAAATAAAATTAAGAAATAAAATTTTCTCATTCCCAATTTAATATTTATTTTTTATCATAATTCCCATTTACCTATACATAAAAGTTAGAATTAAAGATTATGTCTAAAATTAGTTTTTATAGAGCCTACCCTTCTAAAAGGCAAAAGAAGAATATTTTATGAGCATCAGGGGAAAAAAAAAGTTATTCAGCACAAAATTGCTTGTATTATTTTGATTTAGCAGATCGCTTTTATCGGGTCAATCTGATTCGATAAATCAGATAATTTCAATCAAATAAACTAAATTGATTTGGATACTTAGTTTATTTTGCGTTAAATATTATCAAAAACAATTACCATTATTCAGTTCTCAAACTCATGATTTTTCAATCCGAGATCCCAGTTAAATTACCAGATCATTTTTTTTTTGTGAAAGATATTTTTAAAATTTTAAGCTTCTAAAGTTGTATAGTATAGACGTCACTAATTCCTCTTCTTCCGTATCTTTTTCTTTATTATGACACATTATTAAGTGCCTTTGATTATATTATCAAATTTTGAATAAATTAATTAAAAAAATGCAAAACTATAATAGTAGAAAGAGCTAAATGCATGTATCAAAAAAAAGAAAAAGATAGAGCTAAATGCTAGTAAAATACACTATCAACCTTTTGAATTGATTTAATTAGAGTTTCAGATCATGAAAGAGCAAAAACCAATATTTTACCTTGAAGTGGTGAAAAATTCAAAATTCTAGATAGAAAAGAAAATGAATGAGGATAAAACTTTAAAAAAATATAACGTGTTGGCTGAAATATAATAATGTGTGATTTTTTCTCCAACTCGTTAGGATTTAGGAATTTAATTAATTCAGTTCAAACATGTTCGGATCTATATACTATAGTAATATTTCTTTAATATTGTTTACTCGAATTAAACTCAAAATATTCAATTAAAGAAAATAAATATATTACTATTTGAATGACAATAGTATCTTATTGAATTTTTCCTTTTACCTTTTGCAAGATGTGGCGAGCTGAGTAGTTAAGCTCAGTTTATGACTAATATATTATAATACAAGCGACTCGTATCTGGTACCAAAGTTTTTTACAAAAGTAATTAGTTTTTCCTTATTGTAAGTCATTTTACAAAAATATTCTTATATTTTTAGTAATTTTCTATATATGTTGTAACTTTACAAGTTTATATACTTTTGCAATCATTTTCTTTGAAATATAAACTATTTATAAAATTAATCAAAGAAATCCAACATTTTTTAAAAAAAAAGTTTAGTTACACCTACCATATCAATGATTTTATCTCATCGTTTTCAATTACATATAAAACAATACAACTAGACGAATTCAAATTAAGTATTAATTTAATAATACCTTTCATTATCTAACCAACTAAGTCTGAAGATTAATGAAAGCGACCCGTGCCAATCCGTCAACTCTTCCATAATTTCTCTTGTTTTATTTATGGGTTATGTTTATCTCATTTTACACGAGATAAACATCTCTCCTACACACACAAAAAAGGTTGGGTCCCACCACTTTTTTTTCCTCTCTCCTCTTACATGTAGGTCCCACTTATACTTTTATTTCTACAACATAAGGTAATGTTTTTCCTACAACATAAGAAAAATATATCTCTTTATTTATTTGCAAAATTATTAAAGAAATTGTCGTTTTCTGAATAATGATTCTAGCATAATTACACGTGTCAAAGTTTCATTGGTCTCCTACACCATCGCTCTCGCTTCTGGCAATGCATCGTGAACCCTCGCTTTAGGGGATTGCACCTCACCGACAGAAATAGACTCTCCTAAAGTACAAGCACTTCAAGCGCAGTGAAACAGTTCCTCTTTATTTTATTTTATTTTTGTGAAATTAGAATAAAATATGATTATTAAAGTCAGAGATATTTAAAAAAAATTAAATAAATCAATGGTTCATTAACTGACAAGCAAAATACTTTCGTTATTGAAATGTTATGTGTTTTTATTCATTCCCTTAGTATCCCAAAAAATGTTATGTGTTATTCGCTTTTTTTTTTTTAGGTATATATACTTGCACAATCATTCACTTATTAACTAATAATATATATTGATAGGTTAATTAATTTAATTTTTTAACCAATAACTATTTATTAATTTATTATTAATAGATTAATAATTATTTTAAAAATAATTGAAATCTTATTAGTTGGATGTGAAATTTTAAGTGTAAAAAATATCTAAACAATAATAATATTTACACGCTATTTTTTATATTATTTTTACATCACTTTATCTTAAATAATAAAATAAAAGACATAATTTAACATATTTTATATGTTTTTTCCTTTTCAAACTAAAAAATAAAATAAAAAGATAAATTTTATGGTGTACAAGTATTATTCAGTGCAAGTCAATGAAAAGCAGCCAAACAGTTACTTGGACGGTGATAAGCATATGCCAGTGCCACACAACTTGGACAAATTGTAATGTTGTCTGTGAGAGTAAAGAAACATGAGCGCCAGCTATTGTGAGAGTGTGCGTGTAAGTCAGTCACATGTAAGACTGTTTGGTATTTCACTTTTTTATTGTTGCGAAATAATTATTAGATATATCCCACTTTTAGTTTAGGAGTGTGATTTTTGAAATAGTCACAAACTTATTTGGTTCTCCGAAAATTTGTTTTTGTAAAGATTAAAGAGGAAATGTGTTTATAAAGTATGGATTCTTTAAATGATATCCACGATCAATTGAGTCATAAAAAATGTATAAACAATTATCTAGAATATATATTTCATAAAAACAGCGCCTTAAAATTTTAATAGAAAGTATTTATGAGGAAAAAGTTACCTCTACTACAGGATTCATTGTATTTAGTTATAGGGTAAAGTGTGTGTCATTTTAAAGGATGTAAAGTTGTGTCATTTTAAGAGAGAGAAAGAGATAGATAAAGAAGGAGAGAAAATTGACAAAAAAAATAAAGATGTGGGTCCCACCTCTTTGTGAGAGTGAAAGGATATAAGTTGTGTTAAATACTTTTCCCTTAGTTATAATCTCATATCATATAACAAATAACAATTACAATACGAACCAACAGTATTAATATGAACCAACAATACAATGTTGAGCAACGATTACAATAATAGAGACAATATAATTATGGAAGAACAATAACAACAATAGAAACTAGACAATAACAGTGATAGTTACTGCATTCCGTTGTCCCTCCGTAACCGACTCCTCAGTCAACAAGGCTAACTTGGGCCTTATGCCTCTGACGTGTATATATACCTTCTGAATTGGGTTCGTATCACATTGTAGAAAGAATATGTGCATGTCACATTCCATGTCACTGCAATAAATGAGAGTAATGTTAAGGTCTTAAGTAAATTGCTGGAGTTTGTTGATAGTTACTGGTAAAAACTGTAAACATAGATCAGTGTTAAATTTAGCCATAGAATTAGTAACACCAGTGCCAGATTTTAGTCACCAATAAAAGCTACAACTAGTGGATGAAGATTTGTTGAAGAAAGAGTACGAGGATGGTACGAGGCACTGGAAAATTAGATAACCATATTGTTAACTGTAAAAATTAACATAAAGAGTCCTTTAACTTACTAAGTGATTGGGTCACTCTCCTTTTGTCTGGTTGAATGAATTGAGTGGGTCTCACAAGTTTTGCTGGTCCGCAAGTATAACCTGGTCCCGGTGCATCCAAGGTGAAGTTTTCTGGGAGTTTGACAGTTTTGTTTGTGGTTCCAGCTCTACCAACGCTGACTTGAAATGATGAAACTGCATTGGATGGATCCTGAGCCCATGAGCTAAGTACCCCACCTTTGCAGCATTTTGCAATTTGCTGATTATAAGGTGTTCCAGGAAGTAAATCCACAACTAATGGATTCTTTTTACAGCAATGTGGGGCATTTCCCTTAAATTTTGAACAATCCCCTTGTTCAGTGGTCTGCCCTCCTATCATGTTCCATATTACCTCCTCCTTTGCCCATGTCCATCCTAGTGACCAGCCAGGTGCTGCGATATGACGATATTGTTGGAAGTTGTTCATTGTAACAACAGCCTGTCCATTCAATTGTTTCTTAGAGATACAAACAATTAATGGAACAAGGGGCAGAATATTCTTACACCGGTCTAAGAGTTAGAAGTCTTAAACTCAATTTTAATCATGGATCCACTTGTATCCAATGTCTCACATTACTAAAAAATTAGAGCCCTTAGATATAAGTGGGATCAACGAACAAGATTAACAGTGTAACTTACACTGGTGTAAAATGATCTTGACCCATAGAACAAATATAAACTCAATTCATTTTAGATCGCTATAGCCACTAATATAAATAAACTCGTTTGTATACTTGAGTTTATCAACTTTATTCAATAATTTAAAAACTTAAAATAGTAAATGGACACTTAAAAATCCTTTGTAAGGCGGATCAGAAGTGTGATAAGAAATTCAAACCCTGTCACATTTCTAATTGGAACAAAATGATTTTGTTTTCACAAAATTTTCAGGTAGTTATGCCGTCCAAGTAAAAACTGATATACCACATGAGATGCAGCTGACTGAACACGCAGATCCATCACAAAAGATGTAAAAGAATATACTTACAATATATCCATCAGGTATCCAGCTCATAATATCCCATTTGATTGTGATATTCCCATTAGGGTCAAGTGCATCATGAGCATCTGAAAGATAAACAGCCAGCCGCAAGTGGAAAGTAATTAAAAGGAAAGAAAACAAATTAATTGTTGAACATTTAAAATATTCCTACTACATTCTACACATAAAACAAGAAAGAAAGTGGTGAGACATATGAAAACTGTGATGGAAATTATGAGACAAACACGATTGCTAGTCTTGATTAAGTAATAATATGACCAAAGAAAGTAAACAAGCAAACATATTGTTCTAGTAAATGCTGGTTTCTGAAATTATAATTCTTCATTTTTACATATTAAATTCCTATGGGATTAATGATTCATAACTTCTTCCTTTACACCCAAGATATCTGATAATCTCCTTCCATTTGAATATAATCACATCCTATACTAAATACTAATGATAAAGAACTGGAAGATATCCAGATTCTAAACACTGTGAGGACCTTTATATATGAATTATTCCATTTACAGCCAAAACTGATCACTATCGGTAAGCACCCACCCATGTATGATGTCCCTAATTCTTGGAGTTCTTAAGCACAAATCCCGTGTAGGCAATCATAATTTCCACTTTAAACATATTAATGAAAAAAAAAATCATTTACATACTTCTCACTTGACTCAATGAAAATTCAAATGCTAAATCAATTCTTGCTAAAACATAATCAGAACACGAATTTCATCTATTTTTTGGTTCCACATCTAAATCTTTACAGCAACAAAGGAAGCCAAACGCCAAATTTTCTAACTGAAACAATTGACATCAACAGGAAAAGCCGCCAGAAGCTAATAAAGTATTCTATGTTTCAATGTTTGGAGAAAACCCACTTCCTTTATCAAATTCAAAGAACAAAGGATGCATCTTTCAGGAGCATTCATTGCAAAAATCAACAGGGCGTGAAGAACCAAAGACCTTGAGATGAGTGAAGGATGGTGGAGTGTCAAAGTGTAAATCATGTGGTGATTTATTCTTGAGTATAGGAGTGACAAGTCTATTTATGATATAAGTAACATGGCTTACACAATAGCACCAGTAGATTCTGTGAAGGTTGAACTGGAAAAATAGTGCACGAGCTGTATTTAGCAAGTGCTGGTATTTGCGTTCCACAACACTATTCTGTTGTGGGCACTCAACGCATGAAGTTTGATGTGTTGTACCCTTTGAACTATAGAATTCTTTCAAGTTAAATTCTGGGCCATTATTTGAACGAATCACATAAAAATATAGCTGTTTTTTATGGCCGGTTCGCTACACCTGACGCCAACCCTCCTCCTTTATCTTGGCTTGGGACATACCATGCATGCAAGCACTCATGGGCAGAGTTTGATGTATGCCATTATGCATGCATGCAATCCTTTACACGTGGTTTGCATTGGCATAATCCAAGTGAAACGTGAGTGGTCACGAATGGCCACGAATGGATGTTAGTGCATAAGGACCCCATATGTCTGCGTGTATAAGGTCAAAAGAATGCAAAGATTCTGAGACAGTTAAAGCAAAAGAAAGAAGTTTTTGTTTTGAATAATGGCATACATCACATATATCAACATGATTATTACAAGAAATGAAAGGGAAAACTCTTGACATGGTGTTTAATATTGATGATGAACAATGACCCAGCCATTGATGCCAAATTCTAAGATCAGCTGTGATGCTGTTGCAACACTTATTTGAATCTGCTTGTTTGTTCTTGACAAGACTTTCAGGCTGTGCTACAAGAATGAACAAACCATTTTGCTAGCTAGCAGTACCAATCATCCTCCTGGTAATGTTCTGCATAATGGAACAAGTGAGTGAACGAAAAACTACTTGGCAATTTGAATCACTGATCAATTTAGTAATGGAAATAAGATTGACATGGAATTCTGAAACATATAAAATGTTTAGCAAAGCGAGTGAAGATGACAGATAAACGTATCCAGAATGAGTGGCATAAACCTGAGCACCATCAGGTAGTTTGATTGGGATAAGGTTAATTTGGTTAGGACAAAAAAGAGAAACAAGAGAGTGGGTGATATGGTCAGTGGCACCAGTATCAACAATCCACTGAAAATTCGTTTTACCTGAATTTGAAGATACAACATTAGTTTGAAACATAGTTGAATGTACCACATTTTCTCTGGGACCTTGAATCAATCGCAGCAAGTTTTGGTATTGGTCTTTTGTGAAGTGGAATTGATCTTCCATTACATTCTTTGTCTCTTCTGCACATACGAAGGAATCATCAACATCATGAGTAGCAAGATTGGCTTTTCGGTTCATCTTATAGCCTAGGGGAAGCCATGCTTTTCAAAACATGTCTCGATTGTGTGATTGGTGCGACCACAATGTGTGCACACCTTCCCAGGATTGGATCTTCCCCTTCCATAGCTTGATCTACCCCTTCCTCTATAAGAATTTTGACCACAAAATTGATTTTGATTATTCATATTCAAGAATGCCTTTGCCTCAGTGTTTGATTCAACATTGATTCGTCTTTCTTGCTGAGTCACCAGGGAGAATGCTCGATTAATATTTGGGAGTGGCTCCATCAGCATGACTTGAGATCGCACGTGAGCAAATTGATCATTCAGTCCTCGCAAGAACCGAATCACACGATCTTTCTCCCTAGTTTCTTTTGCGTGTGTTTGCATTATCACTCCACAGGCACAATTTGGAGTACATTTACACTTTGGCAACGGCTGCAACATATCAAGTTCATCCCAAAAGGTTTTGAGTTTAGTGAAGAACTGAGTGACAGTGTTATCACCTTGAGTTGATCGATACATATCTTCCTAAATATTGGCAATTTGAAAGACATCTGTTTGTGAGAATTGATAAGTGTCCAAGACACTATGTTTTTATGGTTAAAAAGAGTTCAAATAATTATTAAAATAATTAAAAATATAGACAATAAAACAGTAAAACAAAATGAATTGTCAACAAATAGAAGATTTTGAATATTTGTTGTTGTTTCAGGTTGTTCAAACTAGAATAACAAAGTGCCAATATGATAAAGACGAGACAACAGTGAAATCCGCGGAGCAATGGGAAAATCAGAAATTAAATAATAAATAAAAAAAATTGTAACGCTCGCTAAGGTCTTCGCACAAGCGACCGATGGAGCGACTAGCAAAAAGTGCTCGCTTCAGCGAGCTCCTCAGCGAGCGGGTCCAAATTTCAGAAGCCCAGATTTCACCCTTTAAATACAACGAGAAGGAAGCCGTGAAGAGTATTCTGGAACGCGAAGGAAGAGTCAGAGACCGAGACGAAGCAAAGGAAGAAGCGAAAGAAAACACTGGATCGTTGCAGAGGAGAAGGAAGGAAGCACTTCTGCATCATTGATCATCACTTTTAGACAAGTTTATCATGAACTCAGTTTCTTTTACTGTTTATTTCAATTCTGCCTTTATAATTATGAGTAGCTAAATTATTTTAGTAGTTAGGAAGATACAGAACTGAGGGTTCTTAGTTAGTGTTTGTTTATTTCTTATGAATTATATTCTTGTCTTTGAATTATGCAATCAATTTGATATTTACGATTAGTTTTATTTATGACTTGATCACTCGTAGATAAACATATGAGTCACATATGACAATAGGAATATTGGTATGTGATTCTGATTGGTTGATTGCTGGAATTTGCATGATCTAGGGATAGACTTGTGAATTTTATAACTTGAGTTCTTGCGTTAATGCTTATTTTATGAGAAAGTACTAAGGGATTAGGCTTTGGATTAGATTACCAAGGGATTGAGATTTAATCAATAGTAGAAAGAATTGTTAATAATTCAATCTTGAACGTAATCGTAAGAATAGACAAACACGTTAAGAAACCATTGGAGAAGTTGAATCCTAACTACGCCTTTTTATTGAAAACTTAAATCAATTTCTTTTAGCTTTAATTAATTCTGAATTAAATTTCTAAAATATTAAAAGCCAAAATAAGTTTATAAATTCTGCTTTTAATATAATCACAATATCCTAAAAAAAAAACCCTTTAATGATCGATCCAACTTTGATTAAATAAATAAATTATTGCTTGGTCATCAGTCCTCGTGGGATCGACAACTCTACTTTATCACTTGCACTTGCCGAGTTCGTCAACGGCGCCAAGGATCGCTACTTAAGATCCTTCCATAAGTCAGAGGCAATCTCCATCCATACTATCGATCAATCAGACACTGTTATAACAGGAATAAACATCTGATACAGATCAGATGTTTATATACACACACTGTACTTGTATCTAATCAAAGGGAAAAAGGCGCGGAAGAAATAACCGAAAGCTATTTGTTATAACAGAAAACTAATTTCTATATCTGAGGCTGTAGCTACTAAAGCTTAAGGCATAAAGGCTATAGCTACTAAAATAACTGATAAAGTTATCACAAGTAAAATAACCACTACCACTAGTAATAGAACACAAACAATAGAAAAGATTTTGCAGCTAAGGAAAAACTGGACAACCCATGAAACATAAACACAGAATCAATGAAAATATCAAGAATTTGAATAGAAAAAAGAGAACAATAATAATGGGGTGAACCTGTTGAAGGGAAGCACGTGCAAGAGAGTAGTAACAAGAACAAAATGCAAGGACTTGCTTTTGATAACAAAGACAAGCCCATTTTTTCTTGATGAAGAAATGTTTGTGCTGTGGCGATTCTGGTGCTTCAGTTATTGCCTGAATGGCTGGCTCAACATCTGTGACAGAGAAGCGAAGACTAGAAAATAAAGAAAAAAAGAAGAGAGAGAAAGTGTGGAAAAAGGAAGAGAGAGAGTGGAAAATATGCCGCAGAAGCTAACAGTCTTACCGTCCGTTTGGATGATCTTTTTTTTTTCTTCAAAAGCTGTCTTTTTTAAGAAAAAAAAGCACTCTTCGAAAAAAGTCTGTTTGTATGCTTGTTTTTTAAAAAAAGCAGAAGTCATAAAAAAAGTCAAAAACTTACTTTTTTCGAAAGCTAAAAATTTTAGCTTCTACAAAAAGCAGAAGTCATAAGCCAAATTTTTTTTTCAAAAATCAGATATTTTTCTAAAAATCTAAATAGCCGTAACTTTTATAAAAAGTACTTTTAAAATAAGGAAGTGATAAAAAGGACTTTTTTAAAAAGTGAATACAAACAGGGCCTTATTTGTCAAAGTCGGTTCTTCTTGGTCAAATATAACAAAAAGGTATATAAGAAAGGGAAATAATACTCTCATGCCACATGAGATACTCCTATTTTCCTACACAAATTCGTTTTCCGTGCCAATTAATTTTTCTTTTCTTTTTTAATATAAAATATGGGACCCACATTTAACTTCTCTCTACTTTTTTTTTCTCCTACAATCCTACAACGTAAGAAAAGTTAAACCCTATAAGAAAAGTGTTATTATTGTTATCATTTTATTATTATTATTATTAATTTACTGTCACTTTAATAATAATAAGTGACAAATTAATTTCCATAATTTCTAACAAGTATACATTTTTTGTCAATTGATACTTGGACGACCATACGGGACTTGGGCAAGGCCCAATGCCAGGAATATGCGCACCAGACTTCATGACCCAACCTCCTAATTTGATCCAGGCCTGCATAAGACTGATTTTGAAGTTGCTTTGCATCATTACGTCAAGCTAACTTCTCATGGCATCAGAGATTGGGTTAGAAACTATATTGCATCCTTCTCCAAAGCCAAAATATTATCACTAGGATGTTCTGACCACTCGTATATTTTTTTTATTAAATATGAAAAAAGCAATAAATTTACATTATCTTTATCTCTATAGTTATTTTTTTCTATATCTTTTTTTCTTTCTTTTTAATAAGGTATTATCTACTACTGTTGCATTCAAAATATACTCCTTCAAAAGATATTATAAATGATCCCCTGATGATATCAACCAGGTTTTGGTTTTTCAAGGAAGGTTTTAGCTCAGGTTCGAATCTAAGTAGTTTAGTAAATACATGAATCATACATTCTTGAAAATAGGCTAATCTTTTATATTTATCAACTACCAAATCAATAACTAGATAGCATAACTATGTTTTGAATCACAATTCATAATTTTTAAATCCACATATTCAATATGTCAAAACACATGACAAATGCAAAGTAAAGTAGCCTTCCCCATATAAAACCTATGTAATTTATGTCGGTGCTAGAAATTCTGTTTATAAATCAATTGAAGACGCATTCATTAGTACTAATAAAGAATGGGAAAAATCTTTTACCAAAAAAAAAAAAGAATGGGAAAAATGTGTATAATTTTAAAGGATATAAAGTTGTGTTATTTTAAGTGAAAAAAAGAGATAGATAAAAGAGGAGGGAAAATGAACAAAAAAATATAAAAGTATAAGTCTCATTTCTTTATAAGAGTGAAATGACACAAATTGTATCATTTTAAAGGACAAACACTTTTCCATGAAGAATAATCACACGTGAAAAATGGGTTACTTTACTAGTTCTTGATTCGAAAGCTACTGATGACTTAATTTATTCATAATTTAATAAGTTAGACTCACCTCTAATGAACAAGTCTAAATTAAAAATATTGATTTCTCTTAAATGAACAAGCTTAAATTTTTGTACATTTATTTTATTAAATTATGAGTTATATAAATATATATTATTGAAGGAGAGATCGGTTCAGATTTTTTTTTAAGAGAAAAATATCTTTCTTGTCATAAAAGATAAAATTATCTTTAGTAACTTCAAAATCATTTTGAGTAAAAAGAAAGAAAGCATAGTTTAGAATTTTTACCTCTCTTTATATAATAAATTTTATTAAAATATTATATATTTTTTTTTAAATTTCAAAATAATATCGTTTTGAAATTAGGGGAGATAATTTTATATGAAATATTAATTTATTTTTTAAATAACATTATATTATTTTTGAAAAAATAAATTTTATGTTGAATGTTAAGAAATTACGTAATAAATGTTACGGACAAAATAATAAAAATTAAAATTCATAAAATTTTGTAAATTTTATGAAAAAGGTTATATTTATTATTTTTTTATTGCATGTTATTCTTAAATTTTAACCATTGATTTTCGTCAATTTAAAGATTGTAATTTATGGGATCATACTTGTTAATTAATTATTAATTTATAATAAATTATATTCATTAAATTGACGAAAATTAACTCTTAAGATTTGACAACAACATGTAGTAAAAAAAAAAATAGGAAATATATCTTCTCCCAAATTTTATTACCTAATTTATATGAAGAAGGTTATACTTCTAACATTTTTTTTTACAACCTCTTACAAACATATCTTAACACCGTTGATTTTCATCAATCAACTGTTATGATTTTCGCAAATTAAATTTATTAATTAATTATTAATTCACAATAAATAATAACTGTTGATTGACAAAAATCAACTATGTTAAGATAATTGAAAATATATATTTGGGTAAGTGTAAAAAAATATAACTGAAAACGGAAATGGACAGAGAGGAATGGGGGGATGCATGATGCATCCACCGAAGTGTGAACATTCGAAATGGCACGGAATGGAAGATGCATATTGCATACAATATATTAATATAATTGAAAATAGAAAAATGGTCAAGGTTGACATCGAAGGCGTGCGTTCTCCCACAACTCCGCGTACGCGCAGCCTTTCCCACCAACAAATCCAAAACACCAACAACAACAACAACAACGTTGTTAAGAACCAACCCCAATTGCAAATTGAAGCAGATGTTGTTTCGTTAGAAACTTGGAATTACAATAATTCCCCTTTCCTCTCTTCAATTCAAGGTTGTTCCTTTTTCATCAACAAAACAAGGCAAAGCCAGGGACGATGATGTTGTGTTGTTGGATTTTGTTTTGAGTTTTGGATAATTTTGGATCCCCCAAATGGCCCAGTCTTTCGGTCAGACCGAGATTAACTGGGACAAGTATTATGCTCTTCATTCCTCATCTTTTCCTCCTTTTTTCAATTTTTTTTTTAATTTTTACTTTATTTTTCTGAATGATGCTGTTGATTGATTTATTTCTGTTCATGTTTGGCACCTAAAGTTTTTTTTTTTTTTAATAATTTTATTGGGGGTTGGAGAATTATTGTTTCTGGTTTGTTTGTGTCTTGAGAATCAAGCGAAGGCCTTAAGATGGTACACTAATTCTCTCCAAAAGAAACGGAAAAAAAATAAAATAAAAGAAAAAGCTCATAAATTTCCCAATTTGATAGGAAATGTGATAGGAACTATTGAAGAGTGAAGATTGTTTGATAATGTATACAAGCTACCATCTGTACATATAGGACATTTTTTAGTTCACTGCAACGGGTTATGTTCATATTCATATGGTTGATTTACTCCATAAGACGTCAATGTTGAGTTTATATATAAAAGTTCAAGGTGATTGCATTGTGGCTGTTCTATCTTCTATTCCGTGGATTCTAATTCTTCATGAAGATTGAGGCCATCTTGCCCTTGCATTGATTTAATATAAATGTATCTTACTGATATTGTGATTCTTTGAGCTCATGATATCAAAATGAACTTTGCATCTACAAACTCTGAATCCTAATTAAGTTCACTCAATTCTGCAGGCTAGATAAAACTAAGTTCTATGTCGTAGGAGCTGGACTCTTTACAGGTGTTACTGTTGCACTTTACCCAGTTTCTGTAGTGAAAACTAGGCTGCAGGTTGCTACAAAAGATGCTGTAGAGAGAAATGCATTTTCTGTTGCAAAAGGATTGCTTAAAACAGATGGCATCCCCGGTTTGTATAGAGGTTTCGGCACAGTTATCACTGGTGCAATTCCTGCCAGAATCATTTTCCTCTCAACTCTAGAGACCACAAAGGTGGCTGCCTTCAGAATGCTTGAACCATTTAGATTATCTGAAACTACCCAGGCTGCCATAGCAAATGGAGTTGCAGGCATGACATCATCGCTTTTTGCTCAATCTGTGTTTGTACCAATTGATGTGGTACGATAATCTAATTCATGTAACAGGAGACTGACTGCATGTGTTTTTATCCTTGAACTTCATAATACATTATTCTGGATTAACTGACAGCCTTACATATACATATGGATATGGTGGTACAGTCAAATACATCTGCTCTGCTGTTAAACAAGCTCTTTAGAGAGCTCAGCAATCTATTATGCTTATCTTTTACTGATGCAATGCAAGTAATGGAACTTGTTTGTTTGCTGATGTTCTATCCCATGTCTGCTGAAATTCAAAATAAGTGTTTATTTACTCATATTTATTTATGTTTTTTAAAGCAATATTCGGTGTTTATTTTATACACTATTCTATACTCTTATTTATTCTAAATCAAACTCTCACTTGGTGGTTAATGCTTCTGTTTTTTATAGTTAGGACGTAGGACACATAATTAAAATGCAATGGTTGGTTCTATAAAGCTTAAATATCCGAAAATTTTATTTGTAAGAAGGATGCAAAGCAAGGTTTTGCACTGATATGTTTTGTCTGCAGACTTATGGTGTATACCATTGCAGCATGCTGCAAGATTTTACAAGTAGCAAAATTTTCAGTTTATTTGTGCTATAAATGTCTTTTGTCTTTGTGATGGTGCTCTGCTGATGCTTCTTTTTAATGGTGTTAATGACAAATACTCAGATAAATTAGGAAAGTTATTTTTAATTTTTTATTATTTTTGTTTTTGCCATTTGTTCGTTTTTTGTTGTTTTTGTTGCAGTGAGGAAGTTCTTTATCCTGTTGATTTGTTCTGGTTTCTTTTCTGGCTTACCACAATATGGATAATTCTAATGTCTAATTCACATTGAATAATATTCAGGTTAGCCAAAAGTTGATGGTGCAAGGATCCTCAGGCCATGCCCAGTATAGTGGGGGTCTGGATGTTGCTCGTAAAATTTTAAGGTCTGATGGCATCAGGGGATTGTATCGAGGTTTTGGTCTATCTGTTATTACTTATTCACCTTCTAGTGCAGTATGGTGGGCAACTTATGGCTCAAGCCAACGCTACATTTGGAGGTAAGGCATGGTAAAGCCTGTTTTGTATGTCTTAATATTGAATTATCGTTCCATTACCTTTTCAGTTTTTTTTTTTTTTTTTTGTAACCTCCTTTTCAGTTTTTTTTATTCTGCAATCAATTGTCAAATGATAAGAAATGAAATTATCCCGATCAAACTAAAGGGCCTCTCTCTCTCTCTCTCTTTGCTCAGTTTTCAATAGCAGGGGAGGACTTTGTCTCCTTTTACCTTCTGTCTTATTTAGAGCATTGTTAATATTTAATATTAGACCTTGCAATTGATATATATATATATATATATATATATATATATATATATATATATATTATTATTTTTTTCAAAGAGTTAGACGACTTTGATGTAAATTTTCATGATTGATACACTAAATTGGTGTCTACTTTCTTTACTCTAAACATGAATATTTCAATACTTTAGAGATTCATCAACTGAAACCTTGCAACTTCTCCTTTTAAACTTAGACCAGTACTGTTTGGCTAATATGCCATGATTAGTATGAGTGTGCTGAAAGGGTTCATGTATCTTATTAATCCATTAATCAAGTTAGTCTTTATTAAAAATATATGGTATCTTCTACACAACTGTTAATTATGATGTATGCATGAATTTTTTCCATCTAAATTAAAGTTATGGACATTTGTTGTGTTCCAAGGAAATGGAAAAACTGCAAAAGCACTGGCATATTGCATTGCTCAAATCTGATAAATGTTCTTAAAGTTTAATGTTTGCTCAGTCAAATCAATGTAGTGAATTCCATCTCATAGGATTGAATTACAATAGTTGAAATATGTGATGGTGTAACTGCATCTGCATGCAGAGTATGGTTTGTATTAAGTCAGGAAAGCTACAATTTTTTCTTGGTTGAGAGAGCCTATGAAAAGGATGAGTTGATTTTGCAGCAAGTTTGTGAGGATTTTTTTTTTTTTTTTTCAAGTTTAATTTTTGAAGGGGTGAGTTTTCTATGTAATAGGTTAATGAACTGTTAGTACATGTGCCTGCCCATTAAAGACAATTAGCTCCTGGTTTCATGGGCAGATTCTTGAACCATGGTGCCGAATACGAAGAAGGCACTCCTAGTTTGCAGAAGATTATGTTAGTGCAGGCTTCTGGAGGGATTATTGCTGGTGCAACTTCATCCTGCATTACAACCCCGTTGGATACTATCAAGACACGGTTACAGGTTTGCATAACTTTGTTGACAATGTTTTATTGTCTTGTTTAGTTCATTCTTCTCTTTATCAATACTGTATATGCTATTTCTTGTATTTCTTATATCTTTAAGTTTTCGAAATAGTAATTTTAGGTTTTTGGAAAAATTTCAAGCAATTTCCTTTTAACAATTGCTGGTGCCTTCTAAGGGATGCTTATAAATGAGAAGTTTGCTATTGTAAGCTGCTTTCTTTTTCTGTTTCTCCTTTCCTAAAAGAAGATTCTTTATTTTTAAATTACCAATTTACTATATTTAACAAAAGGGAAACCTAGTGTTATAAAGCTCTTTCCGTGTGGGCAGGGTCTATGGTAGGGAACCTTATCTTGTATTAGCAAGAGGATGATTACATGAATCGAACCTCTGACCTCCGGATCACACGGCGATAACATCAACCGTTATGCCAAGGCTCCCCTTCTATGTGTAGCTCTGTTCATAAATCTTCTTTCTTTCCACTCCTATCATCTCTCTTCCCTTCCTGTGCATGTTCTTGCTAGCTATCATTCAAACTGTAGCCCTAGATTGTAAAGATGAAGAGATATTAATACAGTTGTTGCTTCAGTATATACACAGCATTAGTTCATTGAGTAATATGGCGATGATAGATTTTCACCTCATTCTCCAAAAGAAGACTAAAAGGGAAAGGAAAGTATGAAAAGAGCATTTCATGAACGTTATGTAGTTGCATTTTACTTGCTTAATTATTATATTATTTATTTTTCCTTATTATTTCGTTTAATTTTTCTGACTGGATAGTTCTGCTTTCCAGGTTATGGGACATGAAAATAGAAGCTCTATAAAACAAGTTGCTAAAGATTTAATCACTGAAGATGGTTGGAAAGGCTTATATAGAGGGTTCGGTCCAAGATTTTTTAGCATGTCAGCGTGGGGTACTTCAATGATATTGACTTACGAGTATCTGAGTAAGAACTCTTCCTCTCTGATTACATTCTCTTCATGTGTATCTGCACTTGTGATTATGTTGATGATTTGTTTGTATATTCTGGTTTAGTGCAAGCAAAAATCAAATTAACGGTCACATTCAATGTCATTTTATAACCATTGATTTGATTTTGATCCAATGATAAAGAAAATAATAGTAAGAGGTTGTAAGTATAACCTCCCTTTATAGAGTATCTCACTTTTTTCTAGTGGTGTGACAATCTATGTACACAAACTGTTTTTAATGTCCTATTAAATGTAATTTTCTTTTTTGCTTTCCTTTTTCAATTTTATTTTTTTTATTTGCATGTTTATGCAAATATTATAGACTTGCTTTTTCCGATGGGGCTTTTGCTTGAATGTTATTGGCTAGTAAATTTGATAAATATGCAAACTTTGAATCCCCATGTGTCATAGTGCCTTTTCTCTATGCATATATATATTGCTTAGTCTAAAAGCATTTCAATTTTTTTCTTTGCTCAGAACGCTTATGTTCAAAAGATGAATAGATGCAACTGGTCCGCAAGCTTGTCTTTTATTCATTGATTAGCCAAGATTTGGGTGATGGAGTTGGATAAACACACAAAGGCTTGTAATCCTGTACCTTCAGCACTGGAGTTGCTGTTCCACATTTATCAGTCTTGACTTAAGGGTTAAACTTTATGCAGTATAAAGCTATTCTAACAGATTATTCTGAAAACAATTGCTGGATATACTACATATGGAAAATTTTCCAACTAGAAAATTACTAGTTTCATTTTTTTTATGATTAAATTGGATACATAATATTCTTTTTTAGCATTGCTGCGGATAATGTATCATGGAAGGGAAGGAAATAGATTGCAATTAAAAATGTAGTTTATTGCAATGAAATGTGAAGAATAAATTTGAATCTCTAAATCTAAGTTGTTCCATACAAACGGGGAAAGTTATAGCAGACATTTTTGTTTACATATTGTGAATGGTTTATTATTTCTAAAATTATAATAACTTATCGTATTACAACACAAGCATGCAATGAGGAAGCTCAAAGATACTAAGATGTGCAGAATAACCAAAAAATCGAACCGAACCATGAACCGAACCTGAACCGCTCTTAAAATAACCGGTTTTTAAAAATCAATTCATGAACCGAACCGGTTTTTAAAGGACCAGTTCATGAACCGAACCGGTTTTTAGAATCAGTTTAAGAACCGAACCATTTTGAATCGAACCGAACCGTTTTCAAACTGAATCAAATTGAATTTTATAACTTTATTTTTTAAATTTTTAATTTTTTTTCTATTCAAAAGAAGGTCGACCCGAACCTGTTCCGAACCGTTTCTGAACCGGTTCCGAATCGAACTATTTCCAACCGAACCGAACTACTTTCGAATCGAACCACTTCCGAACCGAACCATTTAAATCAATTCGGTTCGGTTTTTCAAAAAATCTGGTTCGGTTCGACCCATGCACATCTCTAAAAGATACCGGCACATATTAAAGGAACAAGATATCAACACTATAGTCATATACGATGGTTAAATCTATTTTATTTTTGATGCATAAAATGATTACGCGGGTTAGCATAGGGCTATGTAGCACCGATACCGACACGGGACACGTGACACGACACTCCGACACGTTAATTTTAAAAAATGTTAGATTTTGACACGTTAGGACACGTTTTGATATTAAATAATATTTTAATTTATGTAGTGTATATTGTATTTAATATTCAATAATTTAACAAAAAAAATGAAACTAAACTTATAATATTTATCAATTTTGTAAAGAAACATAAGATATTCCAAATATTTATATTAAACTCAATAAAATGGTAATCGTAATCCACCAAATCTAATAGTTGAAACTAAAAACTCAACGCAGTGCAACCTTTAAACCTTCTTTAGAATTTTTATAACGTGTGTTGGAGTGTCGGAGAGTGTCGGACACAACACATCAGGATTTTTGAAGTGTCGGTGTTTCATAGGCATAAGATAGGTTTGATTTAAGGAAATATTTTTTGTTTATATATTTTTTATTTTCACTAGTAAACGTTATATGATTTTCACTTTGTTTCATATTTTTAAAGATTTATATAGGAAATGATTAAAGCAATGCTGATTACATACTAATATGTGTTTATATGTGATTTTGATATTCACATACATTCATCATCAGTATAAGATATAAATATTTATTTTCAAGATTTAAATACTATTATGCTTTTAAATAAAATTTTAATCTCGATCCAATGTAAACATTTATCTTTTTTTTTTTTGGTAAGCTAATGTAAACATTTATCTTTACAATGAAAACAATAATACTTTCTCTTTTGTAATTTAAATATTAATATGTTTTCATTTTAATCCATCTCACATTTTTCACTAAGTACAACACTATACCCATGTTCTGCTCAGAAGTAAAGGGAAGTTCAGATAAAGGCAACAACAAAGCAATGTTAGAAAGAAAATCAATATGAGAATCGAAGGTTTTGAACTTTAGATGATAAACAAAAAATAGGAAAAATATTTGAAATTCAGATGGGAAAAAAACACAGGACAAATGAAGCAAGCAAAAAATGGCACCGATAGTGTATATATACAGGTAAAAATAAGGCAAAGGCGAGTGGACAGCTGAGATCTCCAGCAAACAGAATTAATTATATGCAAATGTCCGGTAATTGAATTTTTTTTTCATGTCACAAATTTCATTTTTTTTTTCAAGAGCAAGCCTTGCTTTTGCCTGATTTACATTGTGATCGGATCAAATACAGTATGGACTTGCTAATGTATATCGGGTCTAATCACACACGGTTGAAATAGTGATGATACTCTATTTCTTGGGCTGGAGGTTGTTGATAATGATATGTGGACTCAGGTCCTTTGTTAGAGTGATCGTTGAGACTGGATGAGATACCTGTAATGACATTCCGATGTTTAAGTTAGTATCAATTGCAGGTGTATGTGTATTCTTACTAAAATTAGATGGATATACCTGGACATGTACTCTTTGTTTATATAGTAGTTCTGTTTGACGCCTTCAGAAGGTGGTATGGCCTCCGATTGGCCGTTTTTGGGTTGCAGGTTTGGCTAGAGCCTTAATAGCCTTATCTCTAAATGCAGGCTACTTTGGTAGAGCAACGGCGAGCTGATGCTGTCCTTTGTTTATTAGTTTAAAGGCGCGGTGGGTTCGTATTAGGTATTGAGACAGTTTCCTTACTTATGAAGTTATGCAATTGGACGATTTCATGCGCGATGGGTGCATCGCGTCGCGTTATGCGCGATGGTGGATATCATGCCTAATTCTGGGCCCTCGTAGGATTGGACTTTGTTATATGTCTTTGGACCTCCTATGAGTCTATTATATTTTATCCAGATCACATTGCTAAGATTCAAGTGACATTTTAAGATTTTAAATGATTTCATTAAATATTCTTATGTTTGGTTGTTTTCAAGTAAAATGAATTTTGTTTCTAAAATCGTGTTTGAGTTGCGATAAAATAAAGGGCTTTGTATTTCTGCGACAACAAATTTTTGACTTCGCTTGCTGACATAAAAAAATACGGTGGGGCCAACCATAAACTTTTATGCTGAGTTAAGATTTTATTATAAGATTTTGTATCAAAATTACTTTTGCATAAAATTTTTGAAACATAAATTACTTTCAACTTATTTTGTAAGATAAAAAATTATTTATCATTTGAAAAGATATAAAATTATATTATTTTAAGTGAGAAAAAGAGATAGATAATAAAAAAAAATAGAAAAAAATAAAATAAAAATATGCCTTTTATGAAAGTAAAATATAACAAATTATATTATTTAAAAGGTCAATTAACACTTTTTCCTTTTAACGAAATTAATTTTGCAAGCAGTTGCAACATAGTAGAAAGGCCAAATTTTCAGTTGTAAAGGTCGTAACATCATCGGGACAATGACCATATTGCCACTTTTTAGGCAAAATTTTACCTGATTGCCACTTTTGAAAAAAAATTTGCCAAAATGCCACGCCTGAATCCCGCTGGTCTGACAAGCGGGAATGGACTGGACACGTGTCAGCGTCTGAATGGTCAACCATTCTCGCTGGGCCGCCCAGCTAGAATGACAGAATGCTGACACGTGGCAAAAACACAGGCATTCTCTGCATGTCTGTACTTTTGCCACGTGTCAGCATTTTGTCATTCTAGCTGGGCGGCCCAGCGAGAATGATTGACCATTCAGACGCTGACACGTGTCCAATCCATTCCCGCTTGTCAGACCAGCGGGATTCAGGCGTGGCATTTTGGCAAATTTTTTTTCAGAAGTGGCAATCAGGTAAATTTTTATGAAAGGAGTGGCAATATGGTCAATGTCCCTAACATCATCAACAAGCAGCAGCGAAGTTGACTGAGAAGAGCCGCGTCAAAGTTGATATATATATATATAAAGCAACATGAAGGGAACCAAATGTTGATATATATGAAGAAAATTCTGGAGATTCGTTTCCGCCTTCTTCTTCAGCTTCTTTTCTTTCCCTCCCCAATGAACCAAAATTCACACGGTGATATTCACATCCATATGTCCTATTTTTTTTTTTATTTTACATATATCAATTACAATATCTAAATTTCTTCTTTTCTTCTCCTCGTTCTTCTTCTTCTTCACAGAGGTATGGTTTCGATTCACAAGTGTTTTTTTTTATCCCTCCTTGCTAGCTTCGTGTTTTTTCTTTGTCGCAACCTGTGATGGCTTCAACCTTTTTGAAACAGATGCTGTTGGGTCATCAAGCCATGAATTCTCTCTTCTTTCTTTGGTGTAAGTGTCACCCTTTATGTGTGAAATTTCATCTTGGTATTTTTTTTTTCTTGTTCGTTGATTCTGTTTACATTTGTTTATCTGTTTCTTATAGGGGATGATAGTCAGCTCTTGTTTTTTTTTTTTTTTCTCTAATGATCACCACCCTTATTCATCAATTGCTTGCTGCATGTTTTCATGGGGTGGGTGCCCTATAACTTTTTGCTTTTTCTTTTTTAAGAGTATGGATAATGAATAGCTGGAGATGTAGTTAGCGTAATAGTGGCTTTTTGGAGCATATGATGTGAAAATCAAACTTCAGAGTGACAAAAGGCCCTTGAGAAAAGAGAGAAAAAGTGATGCAAAATTATAGGGAAAATAGGCTTTCAGGAAAATGCAGAAGTTTTCTGCTATATTATCATTCTTCAATCATCAAAAGTCTTCTTTTCACATCCTTCTAACAAGCCTTTTAATCAGGCAATACAAAAAGTAACTGACAATAAAGGACCATCAATGGTCTTAAAACTAATACAAAACGGAAATAGCCATAAACCAAACATAAAGTCATGCAAACTGAAATGTCTGCAATTATTAAAATTATAAAAGGCCTTAAAACTAAAACGTATGCAATTATAATAACTTATGGTGACTCAAGTGCATCATCCTCCCCTGCTACGAAAAGATTCGCCCTCAAATCTGCGTCAATAGTCAACTTCTTCAGGTGGTAATCCAGGCGGCAATTCTTCTGGCATTACATCTGCGAATTTTGCCAGTTGTAAAATTTCTGACTTGGACATCAAAGAATTCTTTGCTTCCTTCCTCCAATCTGAAGGTGCTAGTTTAATAAGGTGGCCATCCTTCTTAAAGGTGTAAGTATTTTTGAAACCATCATGTTTTGTCTTCCTATCAAACTGCCATGGCCTGCCTAATAAAATGTGACAAGCATCCATAGGAATGACATCGCACCATACTTCATCTGAATATATTTTCCCAATTGAAAAACACACTAGGCATCTTTTGGTTACTTTCACCTCATTCCCTTTTTTTAGCCAAGACAGCTTGTACGGTTGTGGGTGTTCTTCTGTTTTCAGCCCCAATTTTTCTACCATAGTGGTAGAAACCACGTTTTCACAACTCCCTCCGTCTATAATCACACTGCATACTTTTCCCCCGCTGGTGCACTTGGTGTGGAAAATATTGTGTCGAAGCCATGTTTCATCATTCACCATATCCACATTCAAGACCCTCCGAACGACTAGTGATTCTCCGGTATCAGCATAGACAATCCCCACCTCTTCAGATTCTGCTTCTTCTTGTTCATCGACATTGTCATAGATTGGTTCTTCATCAAAATTTGGAGCCTCTGCAAATGTCACAATCTGTTTATTTGGACAATCTGCAGCAAAATGTCCAATTCCTTGGCACTTGAAACATCTCTTCCCTGCACTACTTCCTTTACTCGACCCTTCCTTGTTGGGAATATTTCTTTGAGGCGTAGAACCCCTTTCCGCAGGTGAAGTTGCTGATGAACTCACTGATTTATCTCCGAATTCCTTTCTAGGAAATCTTGATTGAAACTTCGAACGGTCACCCTTTCTTTTACATTGTCCTTCCACCTTCAAGGACAGTTTGCACACATCTTCATAAGACCAATACTGTTGTAAGTACACAACATCAGAAATTTCATCCTGCAATCCACCTAGATATCGAGCAATCACTTGTTCATCTTCTTCGACCATGTCACAACGCATTCGAAGACGATCAAATTCAGTGGTGTGTTGTTCCACCGTAAGATCACGTTGCCTGAAATTGTGATACTCAATAAAGGCCTCTTGTCTGTATTGAGCAGGCAAAAATTTGTGCTGCAACAATTTCTTCATCTTGTCCCATCTTTGAATTTTAGACTTTCCGTCTCTGATTCTTTGTTTCTTGACATGTTCCCACCAGATTGAGGCATGCTTCCTCAATTTGATTGCTACTAATTTCACCTTTTGCTCATCTGTGAGGTTTTTTAAATCAAAAACCCTCTCAACGGTGTGTAACCAGTCGATGAATACATCAGGGTGAGTTGATCCCTCAAACTCTGGAATCTCGATCTTCATCCCAAAATTGGATGTGAAGGGTTGATCACCGGTTCGACCTCTCCTTGGTCTTTCGCGGTTCCAAAATGGATTTTCGTCCTCCTCTTCCTCTAGAGATGACAGTTCAGATTCCTGTCTCCTTTCTGACTCGTGCAACTGTGCCTCTGCAAGCAGTTGTTGGAGTTCTTGGATCCGTCTGTCCTTTTCCTCAATTTCAGCATCTCTCGCATCAGTATAATAATCGTCATCGGTAGGTTGACCGCGTCCTCTGCCGCCACGACCTCTTCGTCCACGACCACGACCACGACCTCCGCGATTTTCCTGCTCAGCCATCTTTAAGGCAACCTGAGCTTTGATACCAAATGATGCAAAATTATAGGGAAAATAGGCTTTCAGGAAAATGCAGAAGTTTTCTGCTATATTATCATTCTTCAATCATCAAAAGTCCTCCCTCACATCCTTCTAACCAGCCTTTTAAAGGCAATACAAAAAGTAACTGACAACAAAGGACTATCAATGGTCTTAAAAACTGATACAAAACGGAAATAACCATAAACAAAACATAAAGTCATGCAAACTGAAACGTCTGCAATTATTAAAATCCATAAAAAGCTTTAAAACTGAAACGTCTGCAGTTATAATAATTTATGGTGACTTAAGTGCATCATACTCTCCCACTAGGGAAAGATTCGCCCTCGAATTTGCAACGTCCTCAGGTGGTAATCCAGGCGGCAACTCTTCTGGTACAATATCACCAAATTTCCTAATTAAGATTAGGACTTGGAAATGCAATTCTTTGACATGCTTGGTATATTCATTTGTAGTTTGGATCAATGATCGCATCTGTGATCCGTCATAGGAAAACTTTGTCTGATGTACCAGCAAGTCCCATTGCCTTTGACGATCTCCAATTAAACTTTTACCAAAAGGTAAATCTTTATCTCCATGGAGCATAAGGTTGTTATGCTCGTTGTCCCCAAATTCATAATACTGCTTGCAAACTAAAGACTTCTTGGATGAAGGATCATTCTGCATGATATCTTTGGGGAGAACTTCATCTCTGTTAGAGATATTAGAATTTCTAATAATTGACTTCCCATCGGAATCACTACAAGAGATTTCTTTCACCTCTGGATTCTCGTCGTCTTGCTCCCAATCATACTTATCATAGATAGGGAACTTGTCATAAATTGGAGCATCCATAACAGGATTCTCATCATCTTGCTCTTCATCATATTCATCATAGATTGGGACCTTCTGGTCTTCTGTCAAGTCTATGATGTCAAAGACCTTTTCGACGGTGTGTGACTCGTCAATAAACTCATCTGGATGAGTGGTGCCTTCGAATTCTGGGATCTCAATCATCACCTCAATATTAGCAAAAAAGGATTGATTTCCAGGTTGACTTCGTCCTCGTCGCTCCTGGTTTCGGTTCCATAATCTCCTTTCCTCCTCATGAGATGATCTTTCAGATTCTCATCCTTCATCTGACTCGTGCAACTGTGCCTCTGCAAGCAGTTGTTCGAGTTCTTGGATCCGTTTGTCCTTTTCCTCAATTTCAGCATCTCTCGCATCAGTATAATAATCACCATCGGTAGGTTGACCGCGTCTGCCGCCACGACCTCTTCGTCCACGACCACGACCACGACCTCCGCGATTTTCCTGCTCAGCCATCTTTAAGGCAACCTGAGCTCTGATACCAAATGATGCAAAATTATAGGGAAAATAGGCTTTCAGGAAAATGCAGAAGTTTTCTGCTATATTATCATTCTTCAATCATCAAAAGTCTTCTTTTCACATCCTTCTAACAAGCCTTTTAATCAGGCAATACAAAAAGTAACTGACAATAAAGGACCATCAATGGTCTTAAAACTAATACAAAACGGAAATAGCCATAAACCAAACATAAAGTCATGCAAACTGAAACGTCTGCAATTATTAAAATTATAAAAGGCCTTAAAACTAAAACGTATGCAATTATAATAACTTATGGTGACTCAAGTGCATCAAAAAGATAAGGGGCAATAGTTGTCTTACCTATATAACAAGATTACATTTTGATTTATTTATTTTTGACTGTGTTATCTTTTCGGGATGTTTGAATTTTCTGGCCCTAGGTTGATTTTTGTGACTTGTAAGATCCGATGTGGTTTTAGTTTTCTAGAGACTTTTTATACGAAGTTATGTATAATTGAATACTTATACAGTGTAGGCATTGGATGTGGATATTAGTAGCTTAAATTAATATGTTTTGCGAAGAACTTCATTCAATTAAGCTATGCATTTTTTACTTCAGATTTTACTAAGAACAAAAAGTAACTCATTAATATGAATTTTTTTTGAAATACTGAGACAATTGGTATCCTAGATACCTTGACACTTAGTCAATTTTTAGTTCTTATTGAGAAAATTTGAAGTAACCAAGCAGCTGCTGTGATATGGTAGCCAAGGAAAAGAAAAACAAGGAAGTAATTGTTATGCTGTCTCTGTTTTGCATTGGTTATCAGAATAATATAGGATTCTGAGAGCTTTTATGGTTGTTGGTATTATTTCTCAAAATCAGATTCATAATAGTTATTTATAATTCGCTGGACTTGTGACTTTGCTTAAAACTTTTTTCTGAGAACAGAGCATGGAAATGCTATCTTGTTATATTCATTATTCTTGCTTGAGTTTCTGTCTGCTGCAATCACCAAAGTCATTGTTTTGTTTATGCAAACGCACTGAGACCAACCAAATAATCAGATTTAATTCTTTCTTCCTCATGACTAAGTATGCCACATATTTTTTTATCAAATTATGATGACTTCACTATTTGTATATTTTTTTGTCAAATTATGAATAGCATGCCATTTTACTATGATGCCAACTATAAATGTCATGATACTTACTTGGTGTTGATCCAAGTAAGCAATTCTAATTTTTATTGCTTAATTGAGAGGCTAAAAATTGGATGTTAAAGATGTTTCTCATAGGATAAGCTAAATATGACTGCATTTCACTTGTATTGTGGATAACATGAATAACGGTTCTAGTATGAAAATAAAGTGCGAACCCTCCTAATTTCATGTCAAATATTTGCTATGTTTTTCCTAGATTTATCATGTGGCTTTCCCATTTCTTGTGCTCAAATTGAACCCCAACTTGCCTCGGTCTCTCTGACCCTAACAGTATTAACATGAGGAAGGACCATGTGTGTTGCACATGCATATCCATGTTCCTTTAATAATAGGTGACCATAACATTTCTTGCCGAAAAGAAAAAGAAAAACTTGAACCAATTAAATTGTGTGTGACAGAGAATGGGTATTGCGGCTATCCTTGTTCTGGTTAATTATAGCCTCTAATTACAGTAATATTCCTTAAATATATCTGATTTCTCATTTGAATATAATTTTAGAGGGATTTTTCAAACATTTATTTTATGTTATGCAAAATGATGTTTTACTCTTTGCTTAGCTTTAAAATACAAATTAGAGATACTGGATATTTGTTTTGCTTTTTGGCTGGTAAGCTGCATCTTATATTTATTAGTGTTTAGGAGAAAGAGTCTTTTTCTATTAGGCCTTGCTTCTAAGTTTGAATACCCATCCTAAGGAAAATGATTTGCTGAAAGATTAGTGTTGTGCTCCATCAGCTATCAGTCCAATAAATGGAGTATCAGAGTTATCTAGAGTTCTGCAACAACGCATTATCAAATTTCAAATGTTATACCTTAGAGAAAGATAACAGCATATTCCTTGCAAAATGTAGAGTGATGCCGATTGCTATTTTATTTTATATGCATTGGTGTGTGGGATAGTAAGAGATTCTATGTAAAATCACAGCAGCTGAGTTTGTTTTTTCCTTTTTGTAAATGAGATCTTATGATGCTATATTCATTGTGGGATTGTTATATGATGCTTTTTGGCTGCTAAAAGGACCAATTTTTCTGCCTAATTGATTTTTGGCCCACGGGCTGGCCCTAACCCGTGAGGTTATATGATTTTTTGGCTCGTACTGGCAGTTTAATATGCAGGCTTTTTTTGCCCTGCAAGTCTTGCGGGCTAGGGCCTAACGGGCCGGGCTGGCCCATTTTGACGTATGAAGTAAGTTTGTGAAAAATGTTACTTCTATAACTCATTGTTCAAGTCTAAGTTAAATCCTTATAATTTACCCCTTTAAAGGTAACTTTTATTGCTTTTGGTTTGGGTTCCCAAAGATGAGTGTTCATGTTGATGATGCATTTCAGATAAGGTTAGCTATGATGATTGAAGTCAAGTACAGCTGAATCTTTGTGTTTGATTGACAACTAACCAAACAGGTGTCTGTCTTAAATTTGGAATAATGCTTCTCAAATGTTTGGGTTTCATCCATTCAAAAGATACAAATGCATCTGAGGGACAGTATCCAACAGTAATAGAAGAACTAAGCCATCATTTTTCCCTGGCTGATCTTAGGAAATCAACCAATAACTTTGATGAAAACCAAATAATTGGACGTGGAGGCTTTGGTAAGGTATATAAAGGTTGTCTCCAACATAATGGTGTTGGTGATTATACAGTCGCATTAAAGCGATGGGACATGAATACCCTCGCAGAAAATCAAGAGTACTTCAAGAAGGAAGTAGAGTTGCTCTGCCAGCTTCGTCACCCTAATATGGTGTCTCTTATAGGATTCTGCAACGACAAACATGAGAAGATTATTGTGTACGAGTACATGCTCAATGGATCTTTCCACGATCATCTACGCAATAAGGACATGGAACCACTCTCATGGAAGAAAAGGCTTGAGATATGCATAGGAGCAGCATGTGGGGTGCACTACCTTCACACAGGAGCCAAGCGCACTATAATTCACCGTTTCATAAATCCTAGTAACATTCTTTTGGATAGCAATATGGTTCCCAAACTCAAATATTTTGGGCTTTCCTTACAGGGACCGCTTTTTCCATCAAAGCCAAAACTTATTAAAACTGAAGAAGTTGCAGGTAATTTTTTCATCTTATAAGATTACTGCATAGAATATTACCAATTAATTCAACTAATACTTTCAGTTATAGGTACAATTGGTTTCTTAGCTCCTGAGAATTTCAACAAACCTATGCCCGGCTTAACAGATAGAAGTGATGTTTATTCCTTTGGTGTGTTTCTGTTAGAAGTGGTATGCAGAGAGTCATATACAACAATTTTAGGGGAGATATTGAGAGAACTCCCAAGTGAAGAATTAGACATGCCTATAATTTCAGATGGTGCATCTGTTCCTAACATAATGCAAAGGCTCACAGTTGAGGAGAATATTGATCCCACTCTTGCAGGAAAAATAGCACCAGAGTGTTGGAAAGTATTCATAGATATCATAGACAGATGCTTGAAGTATGAACCAAATGAAAGACCAGCTATGGGCGAAGTTGAGGTGGAACTTGAGCATGCTCTGTCATTGCAACAGGAAGCTGATGCCAACAACACTAGTGGCGAGTATAGCTTCTTATCGACCAGCATTTCTCAACCTCAACAATTACAAGAGGAGGCGCCAATTTCAGCATAGAGTTATTAAATTCATGGATGCCGTATTTATTTCTTTTTTTTCTTTTTTTTTGTAAATATATTTATTTCTTTTTAGTGCTTGCGAAATCAATTACTTGTTGGTCATCCTACAACGCATCCTGTTAATCTTCGTTTGTAACCGTTGTGGTCATCAGTTGTTCTTGTATCGTTTCCACCTATGTTTCTAATTTTAGTGAGCAGAGTACATAAACAAAATACCAATGGGAAAAAACAGAAGCAAAGGAACATGTGAATTAACTATACAATTAATTATTATTATACAAAATAAATGACATAGAACATACATTTTACCATGTGCCATCTAAAAGAGGCTTCTCTATGACGTGTGTTCTTTTTATAAAATGTTACTCTGGGATGTATAAATCTTCCAATGTGGTGGAGGCAGACACTTTTGAGTTATCCTATGTTACATACTATGATGGCTAAATATTACTTACATAAATTGTATAGGTATTAATCTTTCTCCTGATAGAATTTTGTCTTATAATCACAAAATGAAGTTTTAGAAAAAGTAATACATGGTATTTTAGTAAAATTAATAATATAAGAGAAAAAGTAAAATTTCTAGAATATATATATGAGTAAATATATTTTTGAGTCTTCGACAAAAAATACGGAATCCATTTTAATTTCTTAGAAAAAAAAAAGTATTTACATTAGTCATTTTCAAGGGATTAATATAAGTTTTCATTGAATTTCTGAGGGACTGTAATTTCGAAGAATTTAAATTTCATATGTATTACAAATCGTTTTTTTTCCTTCTAAAGAATTAAAATGGGTTCCGTATTTTTTGTTGAGGATCAAAACGATATTTACTCTCTCTCTCTCTATATATATATATATATATATATATATATATATAAGAGCAGGATATTCTTACACTAGTGTAAGAGTTAGAAGTTTTACACTCAATCTTGACCATTGATCCATTTGTATCCAATGACTCACATTATTAAAAAAATTAGAGCCCTTAGATATAAGTGGGATCAACGGATAAGATTGAGAGTGTAACTTACACTAGTGTAAAATGATCCTGAGGTAGGATATTCGTAAACTGGTGTAAAAGTTAGAAGTCTTACACTCAATCTCGACCATTGATCTACTTGTATCCAATGGCTCACATTACTAAAAATTTTGAGCCCTTATATATAAGTGAGATCAACGGATAAGATTGAGAGTGTAACTTACACTGGTGTAAAATATAATTGAGGAATTGGCTAACAACACAAGAAACAATAGAGGAACAAGTGACAAGCGAGCACAATGGTCACAAATGAAGAATATTAATGGGATCCTGCTGTAGCATAACCAACAAATGATTGATTTTGCAACCAGCAAATAAAGAAATACAGCATCCATCAATTTAACAATTCTAGCTAGGTTGAGTAATGATGGTCAATAATACGCTATAGTGACAACTAGTGTTGCTGGCATCTGCTTCCTGTTGCAATGTGAGAGCATGCTCAAGTTCCAACTCTACTTCGCCCATACTTGGTCTTTCATTTGGTTCATACCTCAAGCATTTGTGTATGATATCTATGAATACTTCCCAACACTCTGGTGCAATTTTTCCTTCCAGAGCTGGATCAATAATCTGCTCAAATGGGAGCCCTTGCATTCCATATGAACAAATAGGCTTTTCTAATTCTTCAGTTGGGAGAAATGACTCTCTGCTTACCACATCTAACAGAACCGCACCAAATGAATAAACGTCACTTTTATCTGAGACGCAGCTCAAGGAGCAGTCCATTCTCTCAGGAGCTAAGAAACCATACGTACCTATAACTCAAAAGTATTAGTTTTCAATTAATTGGTTAAATTCTAAGCATTAAACTTATAAAGTTACCTGAAATGTCTTGTATTTTAATAAGTTTCCGCTTTGGCTGTAAGGAAAGACCAAAATCTGAGAGTTTGGGCACCATTTTTCTATCCAAAAGAATGTTTTAGGGTTTAATGTCACGGTGAATGCTGATGTGGTTGGCTCCTGTGTGAAGGTAGTGCACCCCACGTGCTACTCCCTCAAGCCTTTTCTTCCATGAGAGTGGTTTCTTGTACCTATTGTGTAGGTGATCATATAAAGATCTGTTGTAAATAATAATATTTTCTTGTACCCATTGGGCATGTACTCGTACACAATAATATTTTCTCTTTTGTGGTTGCAATAACCTATAGGCGACACCAAATTAGGATGGCGAAGCTGGGAGAGCAACTCTATTTCCTTCTTGAACTCTTCGTTTCCTTGGTGGGAATTCTCATCCATTCTCTTTAATATGACAGCAGTTTTATTATGTTTTAGACAACATTTAAATACCTTAAAAAAATTTCCATGTCCAATAATTCGGTTTTCATCAAAGTTGTTGGTTGATTTACTGATATCAGCCAGGGAAAATTGATGACTATTACTGTTGGATACTGTCCCTCAGATGTGTTATTAGATAAACTTAAATGTACGGATTTTTAGATTAATGGGTCTCTAGAAGTTTTATGTTTAGGAATTAATGTTGGTTAAGTGTTATGGGGGTTTGGTTTTGATATTTGTTAAATGGCTGTAAGTTTTCTACGGTTTATGTTTTATTGCGTTTAATAGCTTTTAATAGGTGTTTAAGTTATTTTTAGCAAGCTACCATATAAGGAGATGTAATCGTCATAAAGAACAGAGCAAGAAAAGAGAGTTTGATAATAAAGAAAAACTTTCGTAGATTATTCGTTTGGTTGTCTCTTGCATCTGTGTGTTGATACCTTAACAAATTGGTATCAGAGCTATGGAAAGGGGGAGTGATATGGCACTACCTAAGTTGACGAAGGAGAACTACGAGAATTGGTGCATCCAGATGAAGGCTCTTCTCGGATCCCAGGACGCTTGGGAGAATGTTCAAGCAGGTTTTGTAGAACCACAGGACACTGGAGGCTATTCGGCGGCTCAAACTAAAACGTTGAAAGAGACGCGTGCAAAGGACAAGCTGGCGTTATTCATGCTCTTCCGAGCTGTGGACGAATCCGGGTTCGAGAAGATAGCAAATTGTGAGACCTCAAAGGCAGCCTGGGACACCTTGGCAAATGTCTATAGAGGAGCTGACCGGGTTAAACAAGTCCGGCTTCAAACCCTTCGTGCCGAGTTGGAGGGAATAAAGATGAAGGACACGGAAGGAGTATCCGGGTTCGTTGCCCGGGTTCAGGGAGTTGTGAACCAGTTGAAACGGAATGGAGAAGTTATACCTGACACCAGAGTGGTGGAGAAAATCCTGAGATCTTTGACAGACCAGTTCGAAAACGTGGTTTGTGCGATAGAGGAGTCCAAGGATCTGTCTACACTCACTATTGATGAGTTGGCGGGTTCTCTTGAAGCGCATGAACAAAGAAAGAAGAAGAAGGAGGAGACTCTTGAACAAGCGCTTCAGACCAAAGCAACAATTAAAGATGAGAAGGTTCTCTATTCTCAAAACTTTCGAGGTAGAGGACGTGGCCGCGGTGGACGAGGTACTAGCCGTGGTGGTAGGGGCCGAGGCCGAAGTCAAGAAGGTTGTAATGATGAGGTAGGACAATCAAGTCAACAGAACTGGCGTGGAAGAGGACGGGGTCGTCGAGGAGGTCGGTCACATTATTCAAACATTGAATGCTACAAGTGTGGCAAGTATGGTCACTATTCAAAAGATTGTAACTCGGACAAATGTTACAATTGTGGCAAGGTTGGACATTTTGCAAGAGAATGCAGAGAAGAGAAAAGGGTGGAGGAGACATCTAACCTAGCCACAGAAGGCGAGATGAAGGATGGTGTCTTGTTAATGACACACAGTGAAGGAAGGTCAGACGATGACATGGAGTGGTATCTTGACACGGGTGCGAGCAACCACATGTGCGGACATAAGCACTTATTCAAGGAGATGAGAAAGGTGGAAACCGGACATGTTTCATTCGGGGATGCCTCGAAGGTTGAGGTAAAAGGCCGAGGTACGATCTGTTTTTTACAAAAGGACGGGTTAATTGGCTCAATTCGAGATGTGTACTATGTACCCGACCTAAAAAGCAATATTTTAAGCATGGGTCAATTGATGGAGAAAGGTTACTCGGTTATTATGAAAGACCGGGTATTGTATTTGAAAGATGAGCGAGGTCGGGTGATAGTCCGAGTTCAAATGGGTAAGAATCGTATGTATAAACTGAATTTGAAATGTGTACAGGTTGAATGTTTACAAGCCGAGGTAGAAGATAAGGCGTCACTGTGGCATCTCCGGTTTGGTCACCTACATTATGGTGGTCTAACCGAGTTGGCAAAGAAGAAGATGGTGGACGGGTTACCTGACATAAACTTTGAAGGAAAATTTTGTGAGAGTTGTGTACTTGGCAAGCATGCCAGGACTACGTTTCAGAAGACGGCAAGGTTTCGGGCTAAGCAACCTCTGGAATTAATACATACCGACTTGTGTGGACCCATCAATCCGGGTTCTTTCATAATACAATACCCGGTCTTTCATAATAACCGAGTAACCTTTCTCCATCAATTGACCCATGCTTAAAATATTGCTTTTTAGGTCGGGTACATAGTACACATCTCGAATTGAGCCAATTAACCCGTCCTTTTGTAAAAAACAGATCGTACCTCGGCCTTTTACTCATCTCCTTGAATAAGTGCTTATGTCCGCACATGTGGTTGCTCGCACCCGTGTCAAGATACCACTCCATGTCATCGTCTGACCTTCCTTCACTGTGTGTCATTAACAAGACACCATCCTTCATCTCGCCTTTTGTGGCTAGGTTAGATTCTCTCTTTTCTCTCTTTTATTGATGATTTCTCACGGAAAACTTGGGTCTATTTTCTGAAGGAGAAGTCCGAGGTGTTTGATGTGTTCAAAAAGTTCAAGGTGATGATTGAGAAGGCAACAGGAAGCTATATCAAATCGGTGCGTTCTGACCGAGGTGGGGAATATACCTCGACAGAATTTCTGACATTTTGTGAGGAACAGGGGATAAGGAGGTTTCTAACAGCACCATACTCACCACAATAGAACGGTGTGGCTGAAAGGAAGAACCGAACTATTCTTGACATGGTTCGGTCAATGCTCAAAAACAAGAAGATGCCGAAGGAGTTTTGGGCGGAAGCTGTGCAGTGTGTTGTGTATGTGCAGAACCGATGTCCACATTCGAGTTTAGATGACAAAACACCACAAGAAGCTTGGAGCGGTCAAAAGCCATCAG